AGCTAATCTGGTAACATCCCCCGGTCGGAAGAACACCCCTACGCGAAAGATTAATTGCTCTCCCAAACCCCAGACCACCCGACCGTAACAATTGTAAATGGGGATAAGGCACCATTTGCTGACTCTTTTATCATTTTCGTAAGTGTTTGGAATTTAAAAAATGTCATGTTTCTTTGAGAAGCTAGTACCTTTGCTCACATCTCATTAAAATATTAGGAGAAGTCGAAACTAATTGTAGGCATCCAAAATAAACTGCGGAAGGGCTCTTTTGAGGAATCTGATATGTGGGAGGAGCACGAGAAAAATGTGACCGCAATCAAGAATGCACCGGCTGGGCTTTGCATTAATGATTATACTGTTATTACGGTATTCATATCATCTGCCAATTTCAAGGGAAACATTGCTGACTACTGTAAAAAGCCTCTAAAAGACTGTCTTATGATATATCGGCATAACTTTGAAGACTTTTTTGGGCATGTCCTCAGCTGCCGTGCTGCTGTGCAAATTTCTAGAGAATGTAATCCAAATTTTACTCCTCCAGATCGTTGGTTATCAGTATCAACAAAGGTACCAGATCATATTGTAGAACAAGTCCCTAAAAAAGGCCTTTACGTTCACCTCAAGATGTGTACATCTCGATCCATGGTTTCAAAGCTACCCAAACGATATTGATGGTATGACGTTTTCATTGTATACTGACGTCATTGACCTTGCAAACTCTAATAAGAAACGTCGGCTTGATTATTATGATGAGGTTCCGCAATCGTAGGTTCCATGTTTTTTGTCTGAATGTCAAGTTTGTTTTTTTTTTGCCATATAATGTTAATTCAATTCTATCCTTAATGTTAAGGCCTATTCCCGAGACAGTCTCAACAGAAAGCATTCCATTAACAAATAGCATTTATCCAGCACAAAGTTCGTCCTCATCTGTTTAAATTTGCGAGTCGCGCTAATGTAATAACAATCAGAAAGTAATTTCAGAATTTCAGAATGAGATTCTCGACCAAATGTCTTTCTTTTTTTTTTCATTTTCTTGGCTCGTATCTATTATTCGTACTGTACTTTTAGGATAGTGGGTAGCAGTAGCGCAATAAACTATTGTTTTGTATTATCTACCAAAAATACTTATATTAATCCTACCGTTAGGATAGTTCTCGGGCATTTGAAAACAAATTTGGCGGAGAGTGACTTTGTACGCTGAGGAAATTTAATAACGGCTGATTTCTTTGCATGCCCGAAATGTTGGGCGGCTGGGCAAAATAATAAAATTTTCAATTATGCGCCTATACGCTTGCTGCCTTAAAACCTGTAACCGTATCTTTAGCGATCTGGTAATGTCCGAAGGCGCGCAGTGGGTGCGACCCACTTTTCGAGCGGGCTTAAATAAACTCTTGCCTGTCCCGTTCGGATATGAGAAAGAATGCTGTTTCTCTTTACCATTTTTGCAATCGGCATAAATTTGATGATTTAATTCCTCAAGTTTCGTTTTACTTCATACAGTGAGCTTGCACCTTTATTGAAAAAAATTGCAAAGCGATATAAACATTTGCGACAGATATCCTGTATATTTGTTACATATTTTGAAATTTATAATCTTTTGCGTATCCTGCAAGTCAACTAAATACGTATTTCAATAATACTCATTGACTTTTCATTAATTAATACTTAACTAGTCTAAGCAAAAAAAGAAGAAGAAGAATGTAACAGCTTTGCTTCTTCCTCGATAACATTGCTATACGTCATAAATAATATTCACATGCTTTCTTTGTCCAAATCATGCAGTTGCGCAAAAGATATCGGTACGAGGGACGTGCTATTAAGCTAGAGAATCTGAATAAAATAAGAAGATAGTAATTGCGTATTTCATTGCTAGTAAAACAAAGGAGAAGAAGTAAACACCTTTCCCTCGGCAAATTCTGTTACAGATGATGCTGACATTCCTTCCAATGCATTGAATAAACGCTTTATGGTTTACTTTCTTGTTTTTTATGTTACTTTATTCACGTTAAAACGTCAGTCTCGCAAAATATCAGGAGAAGAAGATCTTCCAAACTCACAAATACGCGTTAAGATGCTGACTTATTAATCAGCGTATAGACTTCACAAATTCTGTCAATATACGCGCATAGTAGTTGAATCAAATGTTTTTCATTTCGCATAATTCGTTTAACATGCATAAGTTTGTTCTTTACAAATAATTCTTCACATAATTACTAAGCGTGGATTTACGATCAACGTTCGTATATACTGTATCTTCGGTATTAGGAACACATTTTTAGAAATGTTATTCTAAGCTACGATTATTGGTTTGTTTCATTTGATACTAAGTAATCGCCTTCGTGCTTCCAGACCGTTGCAAACTCAACGGCACATCTGATTGCTTCGAAATTTTGCGACAACAATCAATATTCGCTTTGTCTGAAATTACTTGAACACTATTACTATCTTATTCAGTCTTAATATTTTAACGTCTTGTCATAGCTGTTCTCTTAACAATTGGTTTCCGAATATTATTTTGCATTATTAGGCAGGATTATGTGTGAGCTTTACGTTATCAATGTTTTTTCTTGCTATGAACAATCAATAATATTGCAGAGTGTCTTATCTTGGTAAATGTTTTATCCGGTTTGCCAGTGTACTTTACAGTTATTGTCTTGCTATTGCATGCTATCATAACTTATAAATTTGTGTTTACAATAATTGCGACTAAAAGAACTATTGTTATTATCAAGACGAAAGATTAAAAGATAATTCCATCCGCTGCGTTTAATCGTAAAACAACATTAATTAATATGATAATAATAAGCGTCTGAGCCCATTTTAGGAAATCTATGGCGCCGTATGTAATTCGCCTTAAATATTACCTTATGCAATATCGATATAGAACGATGAATGAAAAGAAAAATTCAATATTTGTCGATTAATTGTTTAAGGGCGTTATCCAAGAGCAGATATTACTGTTGTGATTAATTGATTTAAGTCAAATATATTAATTATTTACTAGACGGTTGTCTCCAGCAATTTTCCAAGCATGTAAAATCATATCAAGCTTTATTCGAAGATCACGTGTTTCAAATAGACAACATAGCATTCTGATAGTGTTGCTGCAAAACAAATAAAAGTGTCGAAATACGAATTTTGAACTTTTATGGCCAAACCGTAATGCTCAACACTTCGCTCGATAATATATTTCTTACTTCCACCACCGTTACACAAAAGACAGAAGCTCAATTAAAATCTAACCATATTAATATACAGATTTATCATAGACTTAGAAATTTCACTTATTATATCAATCATGAAACTGCTCGGCATGCAAATCATTACACTGCAAAGATAATACACGTATTCCAAAAGGAGGCGGCTCATCCAAGCATTCTATCTGGACAGCCAACACCAGAGTCACAGACATTGTCGACTCAAACAGACTACGATTCACACTCATTACCATGCTTTGCGATGGCATAGTCTGTCAAAGATTATAACTGATCGAGTCGATCTTGACGCATCATTTGAAGATTGAACTATTAGACATCGTGTTTACAGACGCGATTGTGTTTTCTTGCTAATCCAATTTATTTATTGTAGTAGTAGCATTCAGAATTCACTGGGCTTGGAGAGAACGAGTTTGCCCGCTCATAATAGAACATTCTCCGATAAACACGACTTCCCACAAACGATCCGACTAGGGCGTGTTGTGTACATACCGAAAAACAATTTGACGAGTTGCTGATATGGTATTATTACCCGATGGCTGTCCCATTTAGCTGGTGTGCTCGCATCCCATCCAACAACTTATTAATAGGTGACAGGATGTGAGATATTTTTGTCCAGAAAACCCGTTGTGGCAAAGAGTATCATTGATGGAGATTTTTCGTGTAGTCTGTGCTGACAGTGCTCTGCTCTGTCCCATCTACAAATGGTATGACCGAATGGAGCATTCCACAATGATTCCAGGATATGATACATCGTTTGGTAAATTGGCTGCAGAGACCTAGAATAGACGTAAATCCAATGATCGAACATATGAGAAAACTTAGACATTGGTGGGTGGCATCGGAGCGGATTAGGCGTTGTTACTTCAAGAATGAAAATTTAGTATTAGTGGTTTGTCTTTCTAACTGATGAATGTGTTCACGTTGGCAATACACTAACCATACTGATTCTTTAATGCCTCCGAAACCAAAGTAGTGATCAACTAGATAAGGCAATTCCCAAGACTTTTCAGCTCTTGCATGTCTCGATTCCATTGCAGATGGCTTCAATCTGCTTATCATAACAATATTCCCAAGGTTATTTATCACAAAGCACAACAGCAGGAGAAAACATTAGAGCAGCCAGTATCATCCGAAGCTTCAGATCCTGTCTCTTCGACAAATAGTTGTAGGAGCATCAAATTTGAGCTTGCTTGAAAATCATCCACTTTACAAAGACGTAATGCTATCAGCGATGTGTCCTACGAGCGTAGCAATTATATGGGCGTACTGTATTTAACTATGAGCTGTTCCTCCACGTGTTGTTGCGCAGAAAGCAGAACAGCCCCGATGAGTATTGTCGTTTTTTCCAACCCAACTTGCTAGCATACAACATTGCCAAAGTTATGGTGATTCACAAGCTTGGGGTTGTGAGTGATTGAGTGTTGTCATCAAATGAGATATCAGACTAAAAGAGGTTCGCGCGCAATAAAACGAGGTATATTGAGTAGCGAGATGGAGCGTAATTTTTCGATAGTAAATGAATTCTCATCCGATTCTAAAGATTGATTCATAGTATTAGGTTTGCCTTTAAAATGAGAAACTGGAAAAATCGTACACGGAGCGGAGGGAGCAGAGTTTTTTATGGTGTCTGAGCCTTTTCGTGGACCCGAGGCGGAAGGGACAAAGCGTCATTGTTAAATTATTTGACGCTGGATAATTTCAGTTTTTTGAATAAAAATTTTATCAAGAGGGGTTTTCTTGATGTGGAAGCTGGCACGGGAGCTTTACAGTCTCCATAAAGTAGACATTATCCACAAAGATCTTTATAGTGGTGATGTCTTGGTAGATATTAAGTTAAGGAAGGGGACATTGAACATTGGAAAGCTGTCTCGCCGCAAGTGGTCGTGGTCAATCAAACTGATGAGTTGCGAACAATTAACTGTGCTGATTGATATTCATTCTTATTGTGGTCACCTTTCACAACGAGAGTAGAAGAGTAGTAAAAGCACTCGAGGGAAGGAATTCTCAAAATGGACAACATTTTGTGACATAAATGAGTGATGTGGCTGATGTGGCTGAAAAATAAACCAGTGACTGATGACTGACATAAATTCAAAATTTACCTTTATTTTAATTAAAACTGGTACAGATTTTACTAAAAATTACCATGCGCTTAACATTATTATAGGATTACCTCTATCTATAAAAATAAAATATATATAATTAATGTTAAATCCACATTCTAAAAAAAGAACAAGGAGAAAAAATTGCTCCATAAAATGAAACTCTCCAGATAAAGAAAAAATCACTTATGAAATTTATCAAGAAAAATAATAAATAAACAAACATCAACAGTTTATTTCACAAACATACATAATAATTTGTTACGCAAATAAAAAATCAGTCAGTGATGCATTACCACATGACCAATTCATACAAATTTTCCATGCTAACGCCCTAATACTCTAAACAACTACCAATGAAAGATTTCCAGAACACCTTTCGTCTCCAGTGCAGGAGTTGTAATTGCGAGGAGTTCAATCCTGACGAGAGTAAGAGAATCTGCGTGAACAAAGAATGCGGCCATCGTGCTGCCGAACATATATTCAAACCAGAAGGTAGGCCGTTCTTCGTGACTCGGCATTGGGGGTATAGGGTAGAGCTTAGCAAAGTTTTTATCCACCTGTTTATGGTGTCCTTTTACCACATTATACATGACAGCCGTTCCGGCAGGTAACGACTTTGTGACTCGGGCGTTGGGGACATAGAGTAGTGTGTACATGACTCAGGCATAGAGTAGAGCATAACGTTTGAAAGAATCATTCATTATCTTTAATTACTCTAAAATTCATCGTTCATATCTTTAAAATCAGTAGGTGGCATACAAAATAAGAAGCGAAAATTCAATGAGTTTTCAAATGGGCATGCAGTCAGAACTGTGAAGTGGACGGACATGTGAATGAGTCTGCCCAATCATCATCATCACCATGCAAGATCACAATGCACAATTCCTGCACCATGGATAGTATACAAATATAACGTAATATGTTGCAAATGCTGTAATTTCATCTTCCATGTCAACTTGTTAATATTTTGATGCAATAAGACAAAAGACTACCACTGTTAGCATATTGATATTGCATAACAATTATATACTCTTTTGTTTCTGGGTCTTGTGTGACTCCATAAAGTTGAAGGAAATTATAATTCGTACACTTGGCATAATTTCTGAACTAAATAAAAAAGAATGGGGAGTCACACTAAATATCACTTTAGTTAATAATATAAAAGAATGCTTAACTCAGAAATAAATAATTCCAGTGTCTGATCAAAATTGTTAAATCATTTGAGTACAACAGTTTCTGACATACTGATATCAATATGCTTTACTAACTTGCCTCCACTTGACCCTTCATGCGGGCTTGGATTTCAATGTAATCTCCCAGGATAATGCAATCATTCTTGGGGGTTTTCAGCTGATGAAGTTTGCCTTTATATTTTGCAGTATAGACTGTTCCATAACCACTAGATCCAATCTCTTTGAGTTCATAAAGTTGCTATACTAATACTGCATGTATGAACTTGTCCAGTATTGCATGTTTCATGATAGAAAACTAAATAATATTCCTCAGTAGATGGCTTTTGATTTGTGTGTCCTTTATTATCCAAACATTATATCTTTGGGTATTCCTTAATTAACTATTTGAGAAAACAAATACAGTCATTACAACAGTCAATGCAATGCATACTTATGATAATACTATTTGCATTATATTACACATGAAATAATTTACCTGTGAAAATCAAGTGACTGAGTATCATTTATCTGCTTGAGCATCACTCGTTTGTTGTTTGTTCTAAGTATTTTTCTATATGTGTGCATCCATGGCATAGTGATGTCATTTCTCGTATGCCCATCAATAGGAATATTCTATCCATTGTATATAGGCATCACATTCCTGCTCAGTATTGCTCCACGACTCCATAATGAATGTATCCAAAGATTTGTTGCCCGTAGTCCAATTGAGACTTTATACCAATAACTGAATGCATTTATCTTAGGTTCCAATCGTTCTGTACATGCCAGACATAAACCATCCTCACGTTTATTAGATAATACTTCTGTTAACACATATTATTATCATATGTCAACATGGATAAACATTATAACCGTATTTGATAGTCACCTTGTCATAATATGAATCATCCGTCTCATCCGTTATTTCAAGCAGAGTCAATTTAATAGTTGCAAATTTATAAGTAGGTGGAGCATACAAGTGTATTAGTATGTGATCCCCTTTATCATTAATGCAATCAAATGGAATCCATGCTGAGTTTGTTTGTAATTGAGATTTCTTAATAAACGCATCGAGTTGCTTATTGTTGCTAGTACATCCATTGGATAATTGTTTATGCACCACACGGGGGTATTCCACATGCAGGGTAGAACCCATATCGAGAATAACAATAATGAAAGCGTATGTAATATTTGTCTCATTAAACTTGGTAAATCCTCGTATGAGTTCGTTGCGAGTCAACACTTTGTGTTACACTGCATATTCGGTTATGTCGTCGTTGGGTCTTGTTCGTGTGTTGTAGCGAGCTGTCGTATGTGCGTAATGTGAAGTAGCGGTAAAGGTTTGCTCGTTGAAAGCGATACATGTGCAATCATTCTGGGGGTATGTATACACGAGTAGACGCGTATTCGCGTGTTATATTGATATTGTTAATCGTAGAATGATATCAATATCTGTCTAGTGTAACACATCATGACATCATATTTGTATTGTCACGATTGTTCGTAACGAGAATAATATGATTGGTGTAACGTTTTCAGAACAACGCGGTAAAAATTTCAACCTCGGCTATATAGTATATCAGTATAAATCTACTGTATCTCATTTGTATCCCTCCCTATCCCCAAAATTCTATGGTCCGATTTCCCATGCCCTATAATAATCTACATCAGCCATAGCTAAAGATATTCGGTCTCTTATCAATCGTCGAAAAACTCATATTGGACATAGTGAAGTTGCAGCATCTCACAATTGCAGCTTACAAGCCAAGAAATCTTTAACTTTATTAAACTCTCGAGTGGCATCTATTGTATTATGATCGTGCCTCGTTTATATCCCCTATTACTATCCCATATCCTATGACACTTGTATTACACAAAATATCATGCTATTTCTATTTATATAATCTGTGCCAGGCTTGTGAATATCATGCAAATATCAAGCGCAAGTCAGGCCACATAAATCAGACAAATCAAGCGCATAAATCAGGCCGCATAAATCAGGCCACATAAATCAGACAAACCAAGCGCAATCAGGCCACATAAATCAATAAAATTGCATGCTTTAAATAACATTGCACACACATATATTATCCCACCTCGAATATATCCCCGTCCCAAAGTGGGGATATAAACGAGGTAGGACTGTAGTGCCATGCAATATGATTATCAAACATTTTTTCAACAAGTCACGCGTACAATTTAATTAAAGTGATTTATGATAGTGATGATATCAGCGTACAGTACATACATCAATGGACAGCGTGGTTCCTTGTCCCTTTAATCAGAAATAATGACCAATCCCGTTGTTATAAAAATTTACACAATGATTTAGCGTAAAGTCTGTAACGCTGATACGTTGTTCTAACTAAACAATAAGTTAGATGGTAATTCTCCAGCATATAGAATGAATTTGTAATAGTGACCATTATTATTGCAACACTTTGCTTGCTTAATTAATATTTAGATAACCAATATGTTTGAGCAAAACGCATCAGTAATTACAAAGTATTCTATTTAGTAATTACCTTCGCTAATGTTTTATTTAAAACATACTGCACAATTACTATTCTAGATACCTCTAAATGCGAACGAAATTGGATATTTGGTGTCCACCCAATATTCACTATGGAGGAAAAAAAATTAAACAACAGGATGTCTTGCCGATTAACGAGTTAAGTGAACGAATATGTTAATATGCATTTTTTTTGAACGAATTTTGTGTAACTATCCAGCCCCGCGCAACGTTACTTTCGTAATTGAGATTGATGTTTAATTTCAGAGGAATATAACTAAACCGAATATGCTTATAGTAAATGCTTGAATTGCCCTATTTTAGTTTATAAGTATCATGATAGGTAGGATTAGACATCGTTAACATAAAGCATGCGAAATGCCAGTGTGTCTCGTCCATAATAATCTTTGGTATCATTTTACTATTTCTTTACGGAGAGCATCAGTAACAATGGCATGTTTTCGTTTCCTAGGCAAATATTTTGATATTGAATTAATTGTCCCAACAAGTGGCAACAGTTATTGGAATTCAGATTGTCGATGGGGTAATTATTTATACTTACGTCTGAATTGGCTGTCAGTTTGGATTACATATTGTAAGAAGAAAACAATCTAATTATTTAACACGCAGAGGCGTTATATCTGCATCTCTGACGCAATTGTCCAACCAAACGTTATTCTCGCATTTGAGCTCTCCTTCCACCAATATAGAATAACCTTCTTTACGTACTGTGTTATGAATATTAAAAACCGTTCGACTATTATTATGATAGACGCTTTTAACTACAACACCTTACTTCATTATCTTCATTGCTTACAAAGCAATGATTGTGGTAGCACATTAAAAACGATGTGTCTTTGTTTCGAGGATTACTCACGCGTCGCTATATATAGGTTATTACAATGTTATTTAGCATTTTGTGAATTCCAGAAACCTTTTATCTACTGCATAATAATATGATGTTATTTGAGTTTAGAGTTACAAGTCCAGTTGACTATTTAGTCATAGTTTTATCCAGGTAAATAAATGCTGTATTCGTGAGTATGGATCAAAATGACATACAAAAATAACAAAGTGTGCGTTTCACCATACAAAGTTCCCATCTCCAGCCCATTTCTGTATATACATTATGGGGATACTGTTGTCATGATCGCTGGTATATTGCATGAGCCATCGCATTGGTATCGGTGATAATAGAAAATGTGGGAATGTGACCCACTAAATGTTTGAAGTGGGAAAAAACGCATAGCCCTTTAGTTCATGGAAAATAGAACGCGTGAGTTTGATTTTCGTGGAATAGTTCGCACAGCCGATGGATAGACAATACCCACGCTGCCATATTTTACCATATTGATTCTTATCCACTATTTATTCCACATATTTCCCACCAGTTTTCCACTAGTGCCTATACAAAACAATTTATTTATGATAACAATAGCTACGTTTAAAATTTTAACTTTGGCGTAAAAAGCATTCGAGCAAGTCAGCGGGGAAAGCTTTGACCGGTGGTGTGTTACTCAAACATGAAGACGATGCGCTGCATAAGAATGCTGATTACCAACCAATGATAAGTGGTGGTCTGTTTTAACAAATCGTACGCTTCAAGTCTACTTTTATAGTAGCTGTCTAACAATAACTTGTTTTAAAACCTACCCAATAAACAAGAAACTGGCGCCATTAAATTGTGCAAAGTATCGATATTGAGATTGGACTTGATATTTGGTCTTACAACAAACATGTATCTTGAAGAGCAAAACCCAAGTTGAGCTAGTTTGTGGGCTAACAGATGTTGATAAAAAAAGACCCGAATTGAGTTCAAACATGTTACAAGATGTTGATTCAAATAAAGAATGGATTATATGAGAAGGGTTAGACTCTAATTCAAAATACAGCATCAGTCCGTCCATCGATTCCTCCTTTTAATCAATTTAAAGCGAATATGTCTAGGATTATAAGGAGAGTGGTCTCTGCATCATACATGTAAGCGAAATTAATTGATCTGACATGGATTTACTTCTCAACAAAGAAATAAGTGACAATTATTCCTGTATTAGCACATCCCAAAGATCGTTTGTATGAGAATAATATAACAGTATTGTTTCGCATATTGAATCTCGCTTTTTACCGATCCAAAGTTTGCGATAACCATCCATATATTCCACGTGATCAACTTATCTCGATTATCAGTGTGATCAGTGTGTACAATATGTTATTGTATATTAATATCGTGCGATGATTACAATCATTACTTGTATCTCATTGTTTCTATTCTCGTTGCCACTTGTTCACAGAAACAATGACGCATTACTCCTGAATTCCCAACCGTCAGCTGGTCCAGGTTAAATGGTTTATGATTCTTATTTTTGTAACAATACGACTGCAGCTGGTCACTCAATGCCCACGCGAGAAGAGGATGGCAATTTTCCCATTATGCAATTCGCATAATTGTTCTTTTTGACATTGGGGAGAGAGTAAGAGTAGGGGGGGGGGGTGTAAGGGGGAGTGGAAGGGAGTGGGAGGGAATGGGAGGGAGTGGGAGGGAGTGGGAGGGGGGAGGGGGAGGGGAAAGAGGCTATCATCCCGATAGACATTTAAGTTTGATATAACAGTATATATACATGTTATGTTTGTCTTTAAGATCATGCATTTATTATTATTATCGTGTCAAAAGAAAAGTAAAAAAAAATTTAAGCTTTTTATGCAGACGCTATCTAAAAAACAATATCCCACCAATGATAATCTTGAAAAGTGCAGCAAGTACGACCAAAAGCTTAGATCCACTATAATGGGGGGAAAGGTTGGATTCTTTTCATTGGATAAAGATTTTTGCTGGGGTTGGATGAGCCCTCAACACACAATCGAATCGATAGTCTAATCCCTGGCGTGTGTTTGTTGCAAGAGATCTTATCTGTATGATAGATAAAAAATCATTGCTTCATTGGTGAGCAGATGGTGATCATCCAAGCCCAACCAACAACACAAACCAACTATCGCGTTTATTGTTTCCCTTTTGCTTGCTAAACACCCTTTTTAACAAGTGTCGAATAATAGGAGATTCTTGAATGCCGGTTGAAACAACGTTCTATTGGTGACGACGAACTATCGACAGATTATATTTTATATGCTGTATTGATTATAGCAACTGTTTACATGCAAAGAGGGGGGTGGTTTATGTAAAAGTATACAAGAAAGAGGGGGGGAAACAATTATGTTGGTGTTACAAGACAATCACATACTTTTCTAGATATGCGTATGTTAAAAAACTCTTATTCAACGAACATTTGTTAACAAGAATAAATCACAACATTTAACTTTTTATTGTAACACTTAAATGTATTTATATTCCCACCTTATTGTACGCATGTTTATTCTTTTCGATGCTTGCCCTCTGTGTCTGGCCTCTCATCTTCTCAGCCGCTATTCAGCTCGTTGCCCGTATTGTTTGCAAACCTTTGCATTAGACTTTTTGACGTGTGTCCTCTAAACTTTTACATCGGTTGTGCTTACTCGGGTTTTTGTACCATGTAAAAATTTTCGTCTGCAAAAAGTTTATTTTTATTCATTAACCATTTGTAGTAGCTCGGCTGCAGCCGATGATAACAATTAACGTAAGCATTTCTTCAGGTATCCAAAGAACGTTTTTCAATCTCGATTTAACTGTGTGTATCGAGCAGCATGACCAAATGAAGAGGGCGGTGTTGTATGCCCCAGGGCCATTATTATCGAGATGGGGCTTGAGAATGTTGGGCACACGATAATCGTAGATATATTTGGAATGTCACCTGATCATAACTTGCAAATTTTTACTCTATTCATCTAACGGCTATTGTTCTTTGTGGCTCCTGATCTAATTTCCCACCCAGGTACAATTAACAGGATGCGAGACCAAATGTATAAGAACTTTAAATTTTTTTGATTTGCAGCCCACCGCCTCACGTAAATAAATACGCAAAAAATTTTTTTTCGGATAGAACAACAGTGAGCGCTATTTACATCATGAGGCAAAATACAAACCAACAACGCTAACAAGTTTATGTGTGGGAATGAACAAATAACTGGTCGAGTAAGTAAAATGCACCATTTTTTTTCCCTTCAAGTCGATCAATCAATTAAGTGTGAAAAAAAAAATAACGATCGGTATTATATGGACATTTAGACTATTGACAAAGCAGGCTAGCGCTCATTTCTGCATTTTCCATCTACCGGCATTGTTAGCCTGAACACCCAAATATTATCTTTAGTAAACAACAATTGACAATTAGCAACATTGTTAATCAAATGAGAAGCAAAATAAACAATCAGAGTATGTATATTCGTATATCAGACGCTAGCTAATTCTTTTATTTACCAATGAGATAGTACGCACGGCCACTCGTTTTCAATGTCTTGAACATCTCATTGTCCGAGTTTTTTTACCCAGTTTTACTTTTTTATATACTGCTATGAGAATACGAACGATGATCATTGACCAAATAGTCAATAGAAGGTCATATTATCTTTCGGAGCTCGTCAATTCCAAATTGGGACATTGCGTCATAAATTCATTTATATGTACTTTTAATAATCGGCACTTTTGATATACTGTTTGTTTGGGAACAAGTAGAGAACGCCTATGAAACGAATTATGTAGTACTCTACTTGTATGTTGCTGTCAAGGAGATAATCTGTAAACTTTACTGCTGTGACATCATGATCGAACGGGATGACAATAACAATAACAATAACAATAACAATAACACTAACAATATAGTTGTATCGACATCTAGCTTAACTCTGATACTCGCCTAGTGACTATTATGGTAATATTATAATGCTCTTACAAATCATGTCATGAATTAGGTAGACTACTAATGCCGAATAACGCTGTGTTTAATGGCATAATAATGCCGTGCTAATGCCGTGCTAATGCCGTTCATGCCGTGCTAATGCCGCTAATGCCGCTAATGCCGTTATCATTGCCATCGACATATTAATGATTACACACGTCCTCATTGGTCCACAAACCAATCCGCTCACTTCTTTCACTCGGCCACAAGTTTTGCCTTGTTCACCTAATTATCCATCCACTCTGCGCTCGGTTATCCAATCTGGGGTACCCGCACAGAAGTCGCTATTTAATCCGCGAACTGTGTGCTATAGAAACCTGTACGGGATGCATGGCTTATTCTCTGCCGCTGTTCATGTTTCACTTCCCTTTCTGCAAATAGGACAGCACCCTACATACAGCATCTCAAACAAAGAGTCCAAGTCGATCAATTATGAATAGAATCCGTTATAGCTTGGATGTACTCCTCGTCACCGTATAGGCTACTAACATATGCAACCATTAGTCTAGTGTGGTAACGTACATCTGATATACTTCTTTATTGATGCAGTCGGCCGCAATATTTTCCTTATTATTGTTCATAACCGAGGGCAACTGACTCAAAGGAAGGAGAAAGAAAAGAAAAAAAAAGATCATTCGGAAACAACTGCCAAGTACGCCCTGTGTTCACCTTTCCTTTTTCATTCGTTGAATTAGCGAAAAAAAAAAAAACAGGGATAGATTGAACAGCCACACCACAGACATCACAGACATACAGTAACTATGAAAATTTAATACTTTTACATTCTCTTTTTTTGTTTTCTGTTTGTTTTGCTTTTCCTTTTTTTAACAATGCGGATACAATTTATTATTTTTCCGATTGTGATTGACTTTGCGGACAAATTGTCATATAAACAATTGTCTAAATATTTCATAATAAAATCGATTGCCTAATAACGATATTTTGTTATTATTTGTATTACGTTTATACCTAAGTTTAAGATACCTACTTTGTGTTTCCCATCATCGTACGCATATTAATATGTAAACTTGTTATCATAAATGGCCGCTTAATCTTTATTTGTATCTTTAATTGTAAGAAAACTAGTTAAAACTAGTATTTTGTCTAATGTAACTATGGCACAGCATTAGCTTAGTTTTAGGTCACATCCGTTACCTGTTTATTTTGCCCAACGGCGTACGGGTTGACATTAAACTTTCAATAATTCCGGTCATTTCTTCCGTCAATAAGGTTGACAAGGTATGTTTCACTGTCCGAAAATGGGTTCACCTACTCCAAGCAGTATCACTTGACTCAAAATGCCTTTCTTGGCGGGAGCCTGGACCATTATGCTACACGTTTGGATTAATTGAAACAGTTATACTAAATTGCAAGAGTCACGTTAGGTAGTGACGTAAACACTGCTGATCTAATCCTAATTATTGCATTATTATTATTACTAAGTGTATGTGTATATGTGTGTTTGTGTTTATATGCACATAGTGCTCTATATGCACAAGCAAGCAGCCATAAAAGAAACTTAAAAAAAAAATCCAGCTAATTGAGCCGAATTGAGACGATATCTCTACTGTGAATGCTTACGAAAGCTTAGCCGTTAAAAATGATAATAATGCGAGAGGCATATGATCATTGACGAGACACAATAGAGAACAAACGATAATCCTCGTATACAGAAAAAGTGTTCATTCAAGATACATACAGTTTACGTAAGATAATGTACGCCATATATTATAAATGCAGTACATTTGTTTATGCTTTATATTGTTTTTATTGTTTTATACTGTGTGATTTTGTTGCGCATATTATATCTCTTTATTATACATACCATACATGGTACATACATATACATGCCAATATGCATTCTCAATTACCCTCGGCAATAACTATACTCGCAACCGAATTGTCGCTGATATCGATGCCGTTGAGCAAATAATGCCGGTATTATTGGACATTGAGAGGCAGCAAGTATTCATATCGAATGGATTGTATTGTCGTTATAATTGCTGCATCATCGTTTTAAGTCCTTGGGATTATTGAAAAAAAAAACCAAATTTTTTACATTATCCCATGTGGGGAAAGTACATTACCTAAATGGTTTATACAGACTTGCCAATAAGGGGGGAATAGAAGACCTTTTTTCGTGCATTTTGGGGTCAATTATAACAATGAGAGAGGTAAACAGTAAATAAAAAAGAAAAAGTATAAATAGCAAATCTTAAGTAATAATATGACATTCATTTTATTGATATGCTTAAATGAATCTATTATCAGTACATTGTACGTATAGTATATTCCAATTCGTATAATGTACATAAATGTAGATGATTGTTATTATTTATTAAAGTAATTAGTGATAATTTATTAATCGTTGATGTGATGATAGTTTACAATGTATCACAATCCGTACTACATACAACAACCCCCCTCTAACCCCACACAAACATTAAAATTATATATAAACGGTCTCTCAAGATTCAGTCATCTTTCTCATCAACAAGGATTCAATCACGGAAGGACCATTTACAGTCCCTAGCTTCTTCTTGTATATTATATCTTATATATATATATAAATACATATATTATATTTAGTTTACGACCCTGTATACAAATTAACGATATAATCATGTCTGAATATTTCAAGAAAATGAAGCTCTCAGAGTTCGTCGAATGGAGCACCAATCAACTAAAGACCAAGTATCTCCCGACACCACCGGCTTCCCCTGAACTCAACCCGTCGATGCAAATGGCGCTTAACCCTCCTCCACAAAAGGGTTTTCACAACGATTCGTCCACGACAAAGACTTCAGAGCATGTATTCCAAAATGACTCGAGTGATACAGCTTTTAAAAATGGACGTCCAACTCTTGCTGAACTTGATTCTCAGGGTGACCCTGCTAGTGACAGTGCTTTCGACAACGTACCTCAAACGCCCCCAACTGGACGACTATCCGTGACAATTTTCGCAGGCCGCAAACTTCATGTCAATAGCGTCCATGCCAAACCCTATTGCGTTGTACAATTCGAGAAAAATGAATGCATCACTCAAGACGCAACAAGAGAGGGGGGTTTACCCCTACAGAGGGGAGGCAAATCGGTGGATTTCTTAGATTTAGTGCATGCTGCCACTAGTCCCGTCTGGAACCAGACTGTAACCTTGTGAGTATTACGTACGGTTTCATAATATTTGTAAACAGTTGTTAGGGCCATGATCTTTATCAATCATTAGATATAATGTAGGTCGCACTAGTCAGTATTGTTGATTGGTGGGCCCTAACGCCTATCGGGTTGTAAACAAACCAGAAAAGCGGTCGACAAAAGAAAACTGTTTCTAATGTCACGTTGATAAACGCACATGTCCGGCGATGTTTTGACAATTTGTCGACATCACAACTTGATAGCTATCATTAGGCCATGACTATTCTTTTCTCTATATCGACAGTTTGCTAACTATTTGCTGACGTCATCAACAGTGACGTCTTTCGCTTAGACGAAGAGGTCCACGTGTATGTATATGAACGCGTTCAGAACGACCAATCCAACGAAATCTTTTTAGGCTATCTGACAATCAAACCTCCGAGAAAACATAATGAAGTCATTGATGGTTGGTTCAAGTAAGCTAATCACTGGTTTTTTTGTTTTGTTTTTTTTTGTTTTATGTATCCGAGCGAGAGACGAATCATACGAATCACGCTGATTTGTTTCATAACGGACACGAAAAAAATCTATTTACAAGATGCTCACATTCTCTCTTCTTTTTTTTTTAGGCTAATGCCACGCGGCAATGATGTTGTTTCAGGTGAAATGCACGTTAAAATATCATATCAGGCCGTGGCGGTAGGTGATGATAATATAGTATCTATCTTTTACACCTGCCATAACTACTCGGAAGTACTTACAAGAATCGAACCTATCATTCTAGAAAGCCCATCTTACCCCCGATTCGTTTGAGATCTTGAAACTTATTGGTAGGGGGAACTTTGGACGAGTATTCCAGGTCCGCAAGAAAGACACCAACCGTATCTATGCTATGAAGGTTCTCCATAAACAAGACCTTATAGAACGTCGCGAGGTTCAACATACACTGGCAGAAAAGAATATTCTCATTCAAGCAGAGGCTTGCCCATTCCTCGTAGGCTTGAAATTCTCCTTCCAGACAAAGACACATCTTTATTTGGTAACAGATTTCATGAATGGGGGAGAACTATTTTGGCATTTGCAAAACGAAGTAAGATTGGCCGAAGAGCGAGCAAAGTTTTATGCTGCTGAGATTGTTTTGGCATTAGAGCACTTGCATAAATTTAATATTGTTTATAGGTAACGTACCAAAAAAAAAGAAGGGGTAGGGGGTAGTGTGTGGGATAGCGTGGGGGTAGCGTGGGGTTATTGTGGGGGGAAGGTGTGTGTAGAAGGGCGTGGGGGGTAAAGGGGAGCGCGGTGAAACATCAGGGGACTAATTATTCTCGTCACATTATCCGTTAATAGAGATCTAAAACCAGAAAATATTCTTCTCGATGCTACTGGTCACATTGCTTTATGCGATTTCGGTCTTTGCAAAGAAAATCTTGGTGCTGGTCAAACGACGAATACTTTCTGTGGTACATCGGAGTATCTGGCTCCTGAGGTCCTCGCTGAGTGTGGGTACGGCAAGTCCGTTGACTGGTGGAGTCTCGGAATTCTTTTTTATGAAATGATCGCTGGCTTCAGCCCGTTCTATACCCACGACACTCAGATGATGTATAGAAGAATCCTGTTCGGTAAACTCAAGTTTCCCAAAGGGCTATTCAGTGATGACGCCAAGAGCCTTATCAAGGGTGTAAGTATTAATGGACGCGGATAAGTTAGAGTTGAGATGAGGATGGGATTACCGATTATCAAATTATAGGCCGTGTTGTCAATTTACTTGTCCATTAACGATGCTCTCTTTTTTTCTTCTTGTAGCTCCTTGCTCGCAATCCAGGTCATCGTCTCGGCACGCATCACGATGCAGAAGAAATCAAGAACCATCCGTTCTTTGCCGCAATAGACTGGGAGGCACTCTGTAACAAACAAGTATCTCCACCATTCAAACCAAATGTCTCTTCTGATGACGATACATCATGCTTTGATCCTGCTTTCACCGAAGAAGAGACTACAATCGATTGGCCGACTATATCGAAAACTCTCAGTCGTAATGGGACCAACGCGAGCGAAGTGTTCAGTGGATTTACGTATTCAGGCGAAACAGTCGTCGGTATTGGACGTGAACCTGCCGCTCTCACAAATTCTGGTAATTGAGGGTGTTGCAGAAATTAAAGTGGGATGCATCACGCAGGATACCGTGTGATATATCCCACATGTAAGAATATAGAAAAAAAGGACAATGCCATCTTATGTGATGACACCAAAATACTTTTTTGTAAAATACATTTTCCCTTTATACCTTCTACCCTTTTTTTTCTTCCCGTTTTCCCTCCTCCTCCTTTTATCCTTGTTCATACTGTACACTTTACTCCGTCATTCCTTTGAATATCAAATAATTACCTCCCACATTTACCTTTTATTACAGTGCACATTAAAAAACAAAAGCACAAATGAAAATCCCTCTAAGAATGAAAAGCATGGAAAGATGATGCCGAGAGGTTTTTTTTTCTCTCCGTGACATCTTTATATTGATTTACTAAGCTATTTTTTTTCCATTACGAAAAAGAAACAATAACTTTTTACAATACTATTAATCAAGGATCTTCCCACTACACTTTTTTTTTTTTCACGGTTATAGTGTAGGGAAGAATGTATATATGTTAATTTCATACGTGTTGTCATTTTTGAAAACAAAAAAATCAACTTTTTTTTTATAAGCTAACAAAGAGAAGGAAATCGCTTTGAGCAGAGATGTGGCGTAATATCGCTATGGATGTAATCCAAGCTCTAACGGTGACCTATTTGTCGCGAACCTTGTGTGTTCACAGCGACTTATCGCCGATAATAACACAAATAACAGCTTGTTATTGTTGTTCATGGTCTAGCGCCGTTTCCTCTCTGGTTTCCTTCTCTTTATGCTCTATTTAGCCCTTTTTTTTAAAGAAGAAAAAAACGGTTAAGTGTGGTAACAATTGATATAAGAAAATTTAATTAATGATTGTAATAATTCAATAAGGTTTTGTTATATTCTTTCTCTTTGGGGATACCATTGACTTTTTGTTTAGTCAATCCATACAATTCATCACCACGCTGCAAAGGACGTCTTTGTGGTTTTGTTTGCGAGTGATTTAGGAGGGTCATAGTTTAAAGCAATTTTAAGAAAAGCTTTCTATTTTATATAGTATTGGGAATGAGGAGGTTTTTCTTCCCCTTTAACATCCACCTCTACTATTATTTTTTTTAACATTATTTTTATGTTAATTTTCTGATAACACTTTTCTTATCAGGAAAATCATTGCTTTTCCTTACCAGTCTGCGGACTGTTTGACCCTCCGACTCTTCTCGTCCTTCAATAATTGTATGCGTGCTAAACATTTAATAGCATGGGTTTTGCAATATCCCCAACAAAGAAAAGATATTCTAATTACGATTAAATAATAAAAGAGATGTTCTCAGATCTTACTATGCTCAAAATCTTGGTAACAATATGAACGATAAATGCAATTATTGAATACGTAAATCTTTCAATGTTTCGCATACGAATACCCAGAGTATAGCGCCTACATTCAGCACTCACGAATATGTTTTTACAAAGTGTAGGTAATAGTTACTTATTCACGGCGTCCAAATGAAATTCGACAATTTAGTGAGATTCGCCGTCGAGTTACTGTTTCTTATGATGGCGTTGACTAAAGAAAAGGGTGGGGAAATTGAAAGACTCTCTCTATTCTACGAATGCTAATGGTCATATTAAGCAGTCTGTAATGTTGGCGCCCTTGTAGAATATGCTTGCTTCGAATTGTCATCACCTGGCCAAAAGGAGGGGTGATACTGAACGCGACTAGCATCCATCGCTGTTGATGCCACATGCTGACCTGCAGATCGAAAGTGTTAATAATAACAGGTAATAATAACAGGTATTATTAATATCGGATCAATGACATGCCGAGATGTCAGACGCACACCATCGTGTTAATAAATGCGGAAATAATTACCGATTTTCAAAAGAATTTGCCAATTTCGAAAGTGAGAGAAACAACCTTCGGTAAAAATATAGCTATATTAATTTTTGCTCGTTGTTTTCATGGCCGAACGCGGAAAATTTATCCGTTCAGTCAGTGACAGTATTTTTGCTTGTTAGCTAACAGTTGAAATCTTCAATTTAATACAGTATTTTTGGCATCAGAACATGTTAGCCAACAGTCGAAATCTTCAAGGCATTTTCATCCGCGTCCTGTCACATTTTGGTGACCACTTTTATGTATTTAACAATTTATATTCTATATCAAAAATAAATTGACGACATTGAAAAGTATAATTCTTTCGCTATAATTAAAAGCATGTACGCGATTCTTTCATTGTTTATGCACTCTGAACGCTACGTCACCTTGCACCATAAATAATTGCCATACTTCCGTCATACTGCAGCTTTTGTGCTCTTACGTAAAGACATACCGATACATTAAAAAGAAAGATCTTCATAGTTTGCTTCTCAGATGCGTTCACGTACAACACTGCATGCCTACAATCATCATGCAGGAACAATAACATAAAAAAGCATTCTGTCTAGCTATCATCTGACGGCGATCAATTGTGTAGGTCTCTTCTTCAACAAGGAGATGTTGACGGTAACCTATAGCCGTTGAACGAAACGGTGAGACTGTAGATTGTTAAAAGTGACTCTCTCCAAGAAAATTCTCACAATCAGTTTGTGCGAATAATTTTGAAACCCAATTTTTGTAGATCGACAACAATGGTCAATTGCTATTAAAAGGTTGGTTTATTTTGTGGTAAAAGAACCAATTGAGCTGACGCCTTAAAACGCAGACGATAATAAGGTTCTGCGATTTGCATTTATGGTGGCTTTCCACGAATGTTAGTGGTTTAGATATAGGTAGGAGTATATAGCCGTAGTCAAAAGACTCGTACTTAGGGAGGAAAGAAAATTAACCTATCAAGTCCAGTTTACTGTAAATAGACGAGGCATTCGCTGACGGTTTAACCAAAAGCAATTATCTTACCTGATTATTATCCAGTAAATTTATCCCACTTACAACCACTACACCCTCTCTGTCATGTGATGCAATCATTTTCTTATCCTTCGAGTATAACGTCTGCTGCACTGTCGCGCCGAGAAAGGAATCGACAAGAGACCCAAATAAACCGGCGAATGCGCCAAGGGGAACAAGTTCAAAAATAACACGGTCGCAGGAAGGATAGAGGCACAAGACGGAACAAATGCCGATTAAAGTGCCACCAGCTATAGAAGCGAGTAGACCTAGTGGCGATACGCCGCCATTTGTGCCAGGTGGGACCTGCTTACAAAGATAATAAAATATAGTCATCATGTAGATATGGGTATAGAGCAATTAACTAATCGGTACTTGCCTTTCTAAGCGTTGTTATTAAGTAAGGCCAGCCTTTACTGAGTACGCCGAGTTCACTTGCCCACTGTAAAAAGAAAACAAGGCTCGTGAGTTATATTGATAAAGAAACAAAATTTATTGTACCCCATCTTACGACCACCCTTTTAGAATCTCTAAACTATTTTTAAGCAATGGAATTTACCCTACCGAATCACCTGCGCATGTTGCATAGTGTCTACAGAATAATTACTGATCTTATAAATGTCCAGTCTCAGTATAAACTTCACCACGCCTTCTCTACATTAAATGCTATTTTGATTAAAGATATTTTATTCGCTCACCCAACATAAGCCACGACTATCAATCGCGATTTAGGCTCTTCCCACAGGCAATCGATATCACCAAAATACGATCGATGTGCTATGGCTAGAACCATTCCCCAGAATCCATTGCAGAATACTTGTATTGCGGTCCTCTGACCGCCTTTCATTGGAGGAAAAGAGAGAATGAGTGTCGATAACGCAGTCAGTATAAATTAAACCGACAAGTTTTTACCTTCAGTGTATTCTTCATCGAGCTCTTTCTTTTTTGCCGCCTTGAACTATGAAAATACAATCAGTAAAGGCGTGTTTGAGCCGAGAAATTCTTTGATCGTCTGTTGGACAGTCTAGTTTATCAGACTCTCCATCTCCATCCCCTACCACGATTATTTATTGACCAGGTTTATTCCATCCACCACTTTCTTTGGTCACAACAAACCTTGGTGAAGAATGATCCCGTATAATAAAATGTTAATAATATCACCGCAAATAATCTCCATTCATTTGCAAGTGTCCCCATTCCAACAAAAAATGCAGCTAATGCTCCACTGAACGAGAGCGACTTTTTCTTGTATCCTCGCCTCGCCAAATACAAAGGCAGGCCGACCGTGACTATATATGACCAGACGACATAAAGCGGAGGAAAAGAAGACATTGTGACTTTGGATATGTAAGCCAGAACATTCTGTCTGGTAAATATGAAATTTCATTGGTGTAAGAGATCTTCTATTTTTCACCCTGCGTAGGGCAAGGGTGACTGTCATGTGATAATGCATCAGGCGCAGATCGCTGTGACACACGTGATGCACAATATGTGCAGATAAGTTAATAGGCTTGGTCCAAAGAATTCGCCACTTGTTTAGCTTTCCAACTTGCCTCAACGCCCTCAACCTGTAGTTCTATCGGCTTGGTACTCTTATTGCTACACTATCATATTTTAGTATTTTTCTCGGGCTACACAAACAATGGCTTCACACCGCAGACGGATCGAGACTGATGTTATGAAATTGTGAGTATGCGACATGGCGGCGTTTATGGAATATTTATTGTCAGACATCATTTCGTGTATTCTCATGCTCTCCCGTCTTACGTAGACTTATGAGTGATTATGAAGTCACACTAGTGAATGATAATATGCAAGAGTTTTATGTGCGTTTCCACGGACCAGAAGACAGTAAGTGGATACCCGAATATACCCTCAAGCTTCCTCTCTTGTCTACAGCTATTGTTTGGGCATGGCTACTGTAAGTTACAGCTATTGTGGTGTTTTTGTATGTTTCCCGTGCCCGTTTTTAGCGCCATTTACTGGAGGCGTATGGAAAGTCCATGTTGAGCTTCCGGATCAATATCCATATAAATCACCGTCGATTGGATTTATGAATAAGATATTCCATCCTAATATCGATGAACTGTGAGTATTGGGCCAACATTTGTTTTGGATATAGTTTGTCTGTGATTCGGAACGTGCAACCTTGTTTACATTTTCTGTTCTGTTTAGGAGTGGATCCGTATGTCTCGATGTGATTAATCAAACATGGAGTCCAATGTTTGGTAATGTAAATTGGATATGACTTTAGTTATAATCAGCAATGGTTTTAATAAGATTATGTTCACAGCCTTGGTAATGACGATGATCGATGATAGTATAATACTATACTTGTGATGATAATAATGTTATTATGATTATCATCGTTATTATGCTCATCGTAATGACTAGAGAGGCATTGTCACTATGTTATAGTATTTACCGCAATATTTGGTTACAGTACGAAAATGGTTACTGATACTTTTACAATTCCTTTGAATGTTAGACATGATCAATATCTTTGAGGTGTTCCTCCCTCAGCTTTTGAGATATCCAAACCCCACTGATCCATTGAATGGGGAGGCGGCTGCTTTATTGATGCGAGAACCACAAACATATGACAACAAAGTCAAAGGTTAGTTGCTCTCCAAGAACCCGTGCTTGTCGGAGAACGATTTGCTCTGGAAATACAATTCATATTATCATACCGTTCGCGACATGTTATCTATTAGAATACGTAAGTCGATTCGCCACAAAGGAAGCAGCTGAAGCAGCAACGGATGAAAGCTCTTCCGATGAGGAGGACGAAGTAAGTTCGGTAGAGTCATATACAGACGAAGACGTTGCGCAAGAAATGGAATTCTGACTTGGAGAATATGGTTCGTGCTTGGGCGGACTGGTTTGATACATTGTAATGTGTTTAATGACTTTGTCTAGTCTATTTATTATGGTAATTGGCTGATTCATGAAAACTTTAATTGCATTGTTTTTTTCTTTCTTTTGAATGATAGTATGTTAAAATAGAATATGTGTGATCGCGTTTCATTTCCATCATTAATTATTCGTAGTCCCAAGTAGATTTAGAATTTGAGGGTATCCGGATATCATGAGCGAGCAAGTCACACGACATTTATACAATATGCAACCGATGCTGGCGGGTTAATTGGGTGACAGTTGTAACTGAATTATTTGATTTTTATTATTTTTTTTTTCGTCGAATACAATGTTCTACATAATAATGATATCGTTAACTATTGGTTATGATATGAGGCAACTGACAGTCGATCGACTCAGTCATATGATATATTAATATATGCAACAAGGCAAACTGGAAATGCCCCGCCACTAAAAGATTTTGGGGTCTAATTAGTTAATATTTGTCTTACCCCATATTTGCCTTGAAAAATTAAAAATAAAGGGCAACCAAAATAAGTAATAATATTCCTAAAACATAAAAGATTTTGGTTGACATTGGTTCCATCTTGGCGGAAACGCAAAGGATTAAACTTTTCGTCTGTCTGCAACGTACTCGCGAGAATCGTTTCTGATATTAATATGCCATAAAATAGCCATACTTACCTCAAGAATTCATTTATAATTATCGACAAGAAACGTTATACGATGAGCTGAATTTTCATGGACGATGAAAATATGTTGGTTCGTTTCTCCGCCCAATAGTTTTGCACGTAGAATTTCGACCCGTCATTCCTGCTTGCATTCTAGTCTGTTAGTTCAGACTATCACTTTGGCTGGCCATTGCATCGTCTAGACTCGATGTATTTATAATTATTGCACGGAATTAACCGTGTAGTGACAGATTCCTCCAGCCCGAAACGAATATTCCTAAGCAATAATTTAACTTTCAATTAATTAAATTATGATAATAAAAAGTCTTGATAACATACAAATACATTGTTCATTATAATATTTCTCATTAATAAGGTAAAGAATGCAACAAAGGTTCAAAAAATTTAATTTTACAATCAATCTTGTCTAAAATTGTGGCAAATAATCAAAGAGAGAAGTTGATTATTGACCTCGAGTTTTGGCACTCTAAGTTAGTTCAGCGAATATTGTTATTTAGGGAGGTCAGCGTGTTTATTTATAACGCGTTTTCGCATTAATAGTAATTGTATGCCAAGTCAAAGGATCGATCGATTACCAACAGAGGATTAACGATCGCCGGTCTACCGGACGACCACCAAGGAATGAAATAAAGCATGTAATTAGCAATGTGTTTTAAAACTTCATTCGTTTACTGCTACAATATACAGTAAACCCTTCATAAGGAACCCCATAAGTGCAAATCCGTAACCACCTATTTTCTACAACTAACTGCAACGGATTTTCTGATAGACTTACTATTACTTCCCAAGTACCATTCATACTATTGCGCTACGGGAAATCAGCAATTATTATTGAACAATAAGGCGTTCTGTTTAGTAATTTTTTAACTCCAGAGTATCGAATATAGCCATTCCGGCAATAGAAAACGTATTAGTATGCGTAACCGCATACGATGTTAGCTAATGCTTTATTTAACGTTAACAAGGCCTCTTACTCCGTTTATAACTACGTTAAGAACGTCTCCTGCCGAATAAATGAGCAATAAAGTCAAATCATCAGAAGCAGACTCAATTGGCTAACTTATTGAGATTGACTGTATGCTAATATCCAATCTGTTCCCACTTTGAATTACATTAACCCATTCTCATAAAAGTATACACTTTACTTTGTGCTTTAGTATATCCCTGTTCAGTTGCTGTTTTGAATGTCTGCCTCTACTCTAATTCCATTTCATAATACAAACCAAGAATGTATTGTGCACCAGCATTGCCTTCTCCAACTATCAAAAGTCAATTATAGAGCCAACGTCTATTGCTAGTCCCGCAATTTCGCTATAATACCAACCACGATTATGTTGTACTGACATGTATGCTTGTTTAATTGCTTTTTGATATAATTCAGTTGCTTTGTTCATCTCATTCTACTCCAGTTCTATGGGCATAACATAAAGCCAGATTACATTGTGTATGGACATGTCCTTGTTTAACTGTTTTTTGATATAGTTCAACTAGTTTTTTTCTACTCCATATCCATTTCATTTTTATAACAGAAAACAAGAGTATTTAGTGCTCAAGCATCTCCTTGTTCAACAGCTTTCTGATATAATTTAACCGCCTTCTGTTCATCAGCATAACATATAGCAAGGTTTTATTGAGCACTGGCATCTCCTTGTTCAGCTGTTGCTTTTTGTTCATCTCTTTCTACTTCAGTTCCATTTGCACAACATAAAACAAGATTCAATTGAGCATTAGGTTAACACTTGGTTTAATGTAACACGTGATACAGCTTGGACAATTAAAACTTATTGGATTATTCTTATGCACAGTTAATGATAATGCAACTCTCTATGACAGGGATTTATCGTGAATAAAAGTCCTCGCGATTAAGACAGGGATTTATCGAATTCGATAAGCCAATTTCTAATGTTATCGACGCATATGTCCTTTGTCTGAAAGGAGTGAATTACGGGATTACTTTAGAGGTTGCTTAATTCTGAATTATACCCAGTGGTAGTGTAAGCGTTATCGATTCATTAGAAATCATCTTATAAAGGGGAAGATCGCCTCGTTTACAACGTCGAGAGGCTTAATCGGTTGTGCGAACGCCCTTCGATGAAAGCCCAGCAACGACGACAATATTATCATCATTATCGCTCGTATACAGTGTATGGAACATTCCCCAATTTTATATTTATACAAGTTTCGAATATCACATATAGTATGTAGAACCGGTGCCAATGAAGCATTAACAAAATATTATAAAGATTTAATCTACACAACTACATTTGTTTCTCTGATCATTAAATCGGTAGTCTGTTCGGCTGGCCAGTGTTGTTACAGAAATCTCCAAATGCTTTCCCCAGTTGTTTATCTTGAATGTCAATAAATGTACTTACGGCAGAATTATGACTGTGACGTCTCGATAATTACAACTAATCTTATCAAAAGCTTTATCTGTAATGTGTGAATAAACCAATTGAATGAATGGTCTTGTTTTATTTCTATCCCGAGTTGGTAGTCTATATATTAATATCAGCATAGTGCGCTTTATAATGCCATAAAACTCGATAATAATACCTTTGCTGATTGATTCAAGACGTGTCTTCGATAATAAGAGTTTCCAAACATAAAGGGGCTTAATGTTTGTTTATTTCAGCCGAAACGTAACAATTATAGTTCAAATGATCTTTTGTTTCAGGCATGCGGATAAACTCGTAGTACTTGCTGTAGATGGGTTTATAAAAAACTTTAAAACATATCGAAAGAGATCTATATAACGTCTTTATCGAATCATATTAAAATTACTGTCATACATGTTTCAAATAAACAACATTCATTTGGGGGTGTGCGATCGATAATTGAGTGGAAAACTTTCACATGTATTATAAAAGTTGAAAACAGAAGATATAAAGTTTGTTAATATCGGATATACGTAAATGCAGTTCCGAAAGTATACAAGATTTTTAATAGACATTTGCATAAAAACAATATGATTTACGGAAAGCTTCTTGAAAGTTAATTACACCATGTCACTTTTCCTCCCCCCATACATATTAATATAAATAACCCCAAAATTGACGACGATCCCCTGAAAGTTTTCAACCAATTTACTAATTGTTAACAACCATCACTGCTGCAAGCATGTAATATGAGACACACTGCAATACTATCATCGTAAAGTATTAATATGTAGCATAGCACTGGATATGAAAGCAACAGACTTCCTACCCTACCCTTACACCAACCTCTTCGAGCAAGCTATTTATATCTCAAGATTAATCGTAGCATTGTCATTCTGGTTGCAGAAAACCTAAACAGAGATGTGACAGTCTTTTTTGATGCTACAAACCCAGTGTTAACTGTGAGAATAAGAAGTGTTGAACTTACGTTGATATTGACGTTGTTCTGGCTGTGTACCTTCAATGAGAAAAAACTTTATTTATAATAATAATAAAGGCAGTTTACGGTAATAATAATCGCAAGGCTAGTATTACAGTGTGTCTCATATTACATGCTTGCAGTAGTGATGGTTGGCAGCAATTATAATTAGTAAATTGGTTGATTGATGTATACGACATATACATCGAACTAAGTTCGGAGTGTTCCCATGCAGCTACTTTTATAAAGACTTGTGTAACATAACAATACAAGAAAAAGCCACTGCTTAGCGAAGAGGCACAGGGTAAATTGATTATCCGTCTGCAGAAAAAAAAGAAAGAAAAAAAAAAGCCATAACCACAAAACGTATTACCTTTGGGGGGATTATCGATTTTTTTATAGGAGCTTGCAGTGTTTTCGAATATTTGTGCTATAATTAGTAACATCCGTATTAATTAACTGAAAAATAAGGCCAATACGTTTCCCCGTTGTTAAACATGGCAACTCAGCCCTTCAGAGGCTGTAAGTATATCAGCTCAAGTACCAACGGTCAAGTCTATGTTGTTAGACCTAGCACTAGGCTTGCTTAGATCGTCAAGAATCATGCTCTTTAATAACTCGCATCATATTTGCCAAATTTATGACTTATGGCTGCTGTCATGTTCATGTTAGCCCTACTTTGTCTATTTGTAAACTAGACTGTTTGACATATCGAGCTTTCTTCAGAAACCAACAATTGATAGAGATGTGCTACGTACAATACAAATTCTGATAGTATAACCAGTGACATACTTTTCATTGTGTTGCTTTGATCAGTTTATTAATATCGATTGAGAGCTGCAAACGTACCTATCTTCTTGCGAACTTTAAATCGGGACTCCTGTTGATAATATGTTATGTTGGATGTATACGTGTAGGCATTATCATGATGCCAGCGATTCGAGAGTGTATACAGCCGACATATGGAATAATTAATACTTTGAGGGATGAAAAAAAAAGAGAAAAAAAAAAAAAAAAAGGAAGATGGAAGCTAAAAAGAGAAGGGGGAAGGAAAGTTTGGGGGGGTAACTTGAATGCCGTTTTGATTGTTACACACGAATTGATCAGTTTGTTGTATTGCATGCACCAGGCCTAATCTTATTTGGATGTTTGTTATTACTTTTACACTATAGTAACGATTCCGAGCCGCCATACCAATTCTAGACCTCTGTTTGCGCTACGAATACAGGGAAGTCTCATAAATATGTGTATTGGTATATGTGTATGTGTATATGTGTGTGCGTATAAATAAAATTCACATTATATGCAAAGAAAAAAAATTTTTTTTTATTTGTTGCTAAGCCATAACTTATTGTGTCACGCGGCCTGGTGTATGCAGCGCACTTATTATTTATTATCATTTATACGCAAAGACTATAAACGGCAAGCTTGCTGTATTAAGGAAATTTCCCCTGTTTCGCAGTTGTCGATGATATATAGACGCTCAATCCCTTTTTTTGTGTGATGCAGCAAATGGATTTGTGTGATGTTATAACCTTTCCTGATTTTATTTCGTTCAAATACAACGATATTCTATATAAAATCGAAAATGGAAAACTATTCTATGATGTCGACGGCTGTTGGGTCCCAGATCTGTACGAAAAACCCCTTAGTGTTTTTAACAGTTTCATTCTAGCTAATGGATGGCAACTGAGCTCAACCACTGCACACATATCCTCCTCTTCATCATCTACATCGCACGATAATCACCAAACACTCGGCCATCGAGTAGTGGGACGGGAGAACTACTTCAGGTCAATAAGCCATGGCGGCGTTGGCGGCTCAGGTGCCGTAATCAAACGTACAATTGACAAAGCAGACGACATATTGACGGCGATAAGAAGCAATGCAATAAACGACGAACCGCCCCCAACGTTGTATCGGCTATTCTCGAAAACGTTCGAAGACAACGAAAACGCCTTTAGGGTTTTGCAAGCTAACCTGGAAAAAATTGGAAAGCGGTTCAAAAAAGGATCGAAAGCCGAGGAAGTATTTGAGAGAAATCTTGCATGGATAAATGTTGGTTATGCGTATAATTATCTAAGTCGCCATCAGAAAAAGACATCTGTGTACTGGAATCGTTTCAAAGACGTTAAAGACATCGACACTGTGCGAAAGACTGCCAAATCTGGTCAGCGCATTCTGAATGTGGGAGATCTGGTAGGCTTTAGTATAGTATTAAGAACTAAAATTTCAATCAAGCAAATTGCAGAAATTAGAGATGATGATTGGAACGATTACCTTAATTGTTGGAAACAACATTTCATCAATCGCTATTAAGATAAGATTACTGTATAAGAACGCAAATTGTTTATGTGTATAAGCGAACAAGTAATATGATTAGATTGAAGGGAAAGGGGGACAAATAACGTATGATTAGATTCATAGGAAAGAGGGATAACCAAATTTTTGCTACGATTAAACTTGAAGAAGGGAGGTTACTTTATATTCTATGCAATTAGATGACTTTTCCAAGCTCGAGTGTTAGAAACTTGTAAATTATATACAAAAAGATCCCCAACTTGTAAGCCCTATATTGTATATAACCCCTACAAACGTAACTAAAGTGTAGTTTGCTCCATTCATTACTTTGAACAGCTACATTTCAAATGACATGATTGAAATACAGTGTATTTTGAACAGCTACATTTGGAACTTTTGGCTTTGACATGAACGTTATGTGACAGCAAAAGTAACAGCTGATTCTGCGAAAGGCTGCTATTTTCTATAATGATTCTCAATCAGTCCTTTAAATGAAAGACGGTTACCCAAGAATGAATATTAGTTGTTTCTGCTTAATAACTTTGATGCAAACTATTAATCAACAATTTTGTGATGTAGAGACCCGTTCATGACAAATAATTGATTTGAAATCCATAAGCTTTTTTTTTTTTTTTTTGCTAATGATTTATATTGTTTCAATCGCAAGTATTATATTTCTTTCATCATCAAATGTACTTTTTATAAAAACAATGGTTGAAACATTTCTACAACACAAATATAACGTATACGCGTCAATCTACAACTCTATAGCAGGCCGTGAATTGGTCAAAATTGTTGTGTAATACCGATATTAATATGTGAGATTATGCGCATATCATCAAACTTGAAACCCCCCACTTTATTAAACAGACTTGATTTATGTCTTTAACAGTATAAAGACTCTGTTTACAGTATTCTTTGGCTTCGAATTTAACACGAAAATGTTTAAACTCGTAAAAAACTCAAACCACCACGCTCATAAAGCATACTATTAAATGTGACAGATTGCACTCCAATCGCAAGATAGTAATAGTAATTGTTATTATTGAGTTCGACTGTGCGAAATACAAATGTAATGTTTTTACGCCGATATGTTAATCAATTTTATTAGCTAACACTAATACTAATATTGGCTAAACCAGTACAAATGGAAACTATTACTATTGTAAGAAACGTAAAACCTAACCGTATATTAGGCATGTCTGATCACTAGAGCCGTTGCGATGAGAATGTTCCCAAAATTCATATCTACGAGACGATATCAATCGGTTGTATATGTGCGGGCGGCTAATTGAATGTTAATATCAATACGATAGTTGAAAATGATTGGCTTTTCCATATCATACTAATCATGTGAACGGCACAGTAATTTCTATTATTATAAACGACTAACCCAAGTGCTATCAAACCCAACAAACACTCCATCATGATTATTCCCGTCCGTTGCTTCTCTTGTGGAAAACTCATCGGCAACAAATGGGAGTTGTATCAACAGCTTCTTTCTAGTGACTATACCGAATGGTATGTGTAATATATACTTTTACTTTGTAAACTTTACGTTGATCCAATTCTCTCATGTGTGTAGCGATGCTATGGACGTGGTGGGTTTAAGACGATATTGCTGTAGACGTATGATGCTTACACACTCGGATCTTATTGAGAAATTGTTACAGTATAACCGTAAGTTTTGTTGTTTTTTTTTTGCCAATATGCTTGCTTATTTGAATTCACTTTCGCTTTTCGTACGAGTGAAATACTAACGATCTTGAGTGGTTTTCCTGAGGACAGCACAAGAAAGAGCGCGCGAACAGTATAGAGCTCAATTCCGCCGTCTTACTTAACAAGAACTCATGGGATTTGATTGTCTTCATTTCTATCCAACGAATCAAACGAATGAGGATCGTAGGCTGGCAACTAACTGCACATGAACCGATACATTTTTTCCCTCGACTCAACAAAAATCTCATGTATAGTCTGTCAACTGGTTTATTTGAATTTCATTTTTGGAAATGGGATCTCTCTTTTTTAACAATTCGATAATTTGCACACATAAACATATTCTTGCCTCAACTGTATTAACAAAATGAAACCTCTATAAACATGTCACATCCCATTTAACGTTCCATGTTTCTCTATATATATCAAAACTTTTCAAAGACAGTTCTCAATTCTCACATCCGATTCCGGTCATTCCGTTGAATTTCACTTGGTCCCTCTGGAAAATTCAACGATAGCATATTTGCCAGAATATAGCCAATCATTCTCAACAGCATTTAGTTTCTCTGCTGTCCCTTCTGGTAGCCCGACAATGACATCTGCCTTGGAAGTCCTCAATGTCACAACAGATGGTACACCTTCTTCGGTTGCCATCGGCCCTATTGCTTCCTCGAATGGTGTAGCAAAATCCCACTTGCAATCATAAACTAACTTTCTAAAATTTAAATCACCCTTAAACACTACAACAGCTGCCTGTTTAATGTCATCAAACAACTCTTTCTGTTCTGGTAAATGCCAATATGCATATGGCGAAACCCAGAAATAGTTCGTTTTTACTACCCATATGTTAGAGTCTACATATCCTTGCCAGCGTTGGGCTAGTTTAGTGATAAGAGACAGAGAAGAAGAAGATGAAGGAATGTTGAGATGGTTCGATGCAAGAGCGGAAAGGAGATTATAAAAGTCTGTTGGTGTGGTATCAGAAACGAACCAAGGAATCGGCTTTGCGTGAAAGTGAACTGACGATGCATGGCCCGATTGGATAAGCCAGTCGGCAAATATCAAGTCAGCGTAGAGTTCAAAACCTGCGAAAGTAGCGAGTTTGCAAAATAATCTGTCACTTTCGTCTCTCAAACTCGATAGATGAAATAGAGAGAAAAAATATATATCAACGAGCAATTCCTCACCAGTATTGTCCAACACGAAATCTATTCTTGATCCTTTCGAATCTCTAATTTTATTCCAAAACAAATCTATATCATTCCTCAAGATATTCTTCTCGATTTTTCCCAATTCCTCTGCTCCAGTACTCTGCAATTTACCCAACTCGCGCGGATCTAAACTAGAGAGCAAACTCAAATCACTCGCATTTCCCCAGAGCGATATCTGGACCAATTCATGAAAGACTATTCGGTGATCCAGACGCAATCCCTCTGAAGAAATTAGTTCGTCGATTCTCTCGGCAAGAGCAACCATCGCAACTTGAGAAGCTTTGAATGCAGTCTCTTTTTGTTGACTGAAAGGATCATATGTACTCCAGTAAGTCGAGCGAGCAAAGTAGGAATAAATGCGCCGGTAGAGATAGCATTCGGTAAAGAGCCACGGTGTAGTATACCAGGTAGAGTTCGAGAAGTAGGTGTTATAGACATTATTCCATGTGGCAATATCTGGATTCGAGTCGTCGGATATTGGGCTGATCCAAGAAGGGATATGTAATGAAGAGATGATTAATGTCCCGCTCTTCCATGACTAATGGAATGAGAGAGTTACTCACGTGAGAGGTTTGTCTCTTTCCATTCCATACTTTAAGGCACCAATAGATGATATTATGGCCTTTCCCTCTGTGCGCTTCTTCTCTTCATCGTCTAAAGCATGACAGGCTTGAAACAAAGTATCGACTATTTTTGTAACTATCACCGGCCATCGAATACGTGTTGTTGTATAAGCAAAACTCGTTTTATCTGTTGCAATCAAAGCAGGGCGTGGTGGGTTTGCAGGGTTGATTGCTGACATAACTTGTAGCAGAAAATAATCTGCTAGACTGATTATCTACACAGAATTTATAACACGTGCTTCAAATATTTGTGTTGCTATTTTACCACACTATAATTTCAAGTCTTTTTTTATTTTTATTTTTTTTTGATCTGGTTTAGACTGATTAGGTAATTTCCCGGATTTCCTACTGTGAGTGCTTAATACGAATGCTAACCGAAAAAGCTTGGACAATTGTAATGCATTCAAGCCAATATGTTTCTGAAGAGAAGCGAACTTTAATTAAAATAGAGTCGCTTTGACAAAATTCTTGTTCATAATTATGTTAATCCTCTAAAATACTCACGACCGCTACCAATTGTCCATCTCTCTGCGCACTCCATGCACGCCCCCACCACCCATATTCCCAAATGTCTTTTCATATCTTTCTCTTTAGCTATCTATCACAATGGAGTCCTCCCTTGGGGCTCTGCAAATGTTTGCTTTGTGAAACATTCCTGAAGCCTGTTCTGTAATACTGCTACATCGCCTGGAACTAGTTTTTTCAACTGTTTTAATTCTTCCGTATCGTCAGCGTAGTACCTGCGATAGATTGTAGTCAGAATTTTCAAGCCATCCCGTTGGAAGGCTTCATAGAATCTGTGTGCAACGACCTTGGAGAGAGAAGAAAGAGAAAGGTTGGAAGACTTGTCAAAAGGGTTTCGTTTTGAGATATCTGAAAACGTAACGTGGATTTGCACAGAACGAAAAAAAAAAGTATTACTTCTATGAAGACGTCGAGAATTGCTGGGGTTATCGATCGTGATTTCAAATTCAAAATTTCAGCAATCCATTTCCATGATTCCTCAACTAATTTCTGGTATGGAATGTCTATCGTTGTTGTATGGAATGTGAATAAGAAATGAATATGAAAGCAAATTTCTCAATTTATGTACCAAACTTACTAGGAATCCATGGTTTGGTCTGTAAGATAGCAAGATGGAACCTGACGTATGCCAACACTCGCTTTCGGTAAACTTCTTCAGTCTCATTTGATTGCCTTCCAACCAACTTATCGTATTCGTCTGAACTCTGGCCCTGTTATGGTCTCAGCATATTAGTTATTCTGCGCGCCTTCCATTCCAAAGACTGGTCACTTCTCAATATAATTTCTTTTTCTAAATATCACTCTGATGAATATGATTATACAATCGACTCTGTCCATACCGACATCATTGAATATAGTACGCACCGAAGACTGAAAGGATGAGGCGTGTAACACATTCTTACCCAATGTGATGACACTGGTACATGATAGGATCAGTACAGACAGAAGCGACCGCAACCATTTTAGCTGCTCTTACCGGTGATTTGTCATAGTATCTCGGAAGTACGTAAGGGCATTTCTTTGCCAGACGAGCATCCACGAATTTCTTAAACTCGGCATACTTTGAGTACAAAAGAATACACAAGTGTCCAAAGGCAAAAGCCATCTCGGGTCTATCGAGGACTGTTATGCCGATTTGATCCTTAAGAAGTATAACAAAGGTTGATTTAGATAGAGAATATCGAAAAGAATTCAACACTTTTTTTTTTTCGCTACTTCAACGCGAAATATACCCATAAGACAAATGTTACGGATTTGAAGACGTTCTACGTACGACAATAGTCTTGGCCAACATGTTAAGTCTGTAGTAATGCTGCTCTGGAGACATGCCGGCTCCAGTAAGCTGGGCAGAAAGCTCGTTTGCCTAGATGGTATACAATCGTTCAACCCATTTGATGATAAGTGTATGTGAATAATAATGCCTTCATAACATACCGTCGTCATAATATGATCCTTTTTATTCGTCAACTGGTTCAACCGCAATGTGAAATGCTGTTTTATTGTGGATCTATCGGCATTCAGCCTAGGATCATTTTTCAAATCATTTTTGCATTTTTGTATAAAATCTTTGTACTCCTTTTCTTTCTTTAACACGTTTTCTGACACAGAGGCTTCTGCCAATTTTTGTTGTTGTTGCTGTAATTGTTCCATCTTCAATTGTAAAGCCTTCTGCTTTGCTTCAGCTACTTTCCTCGCTGTTTCCTCAGCTTGCCTTTTCTCCTCTTCGGCCTTTCTACGGATTTCAGCCGCAGCTGCAGCCGCTTTTCGAGCCTCCTCTTCGCGACGAGCATGCTCGGCTGCTTCACGGGCAGCTGTGATTTTTCTTTCCTCTGCCTGTAATAGAGATGATCGAGATGTAAGTATGGGAGTGGTAGATAATTGCACCACATCAACACGAAGGCACATAGAACACGTACTTCAAAAGTAGATGTAAATGTTTCTAAAACTTTATCAAGTTGTTGATCAAACTTTTGGCAATACGCATCTACCATTTGTTGCCTGCATTCAAACACAGTATTCGTTAGTAATTAATTCATTCTCGCCTTTGGAATAGGCCATAAAGTTACACTGTCGATTCACCTTTTAATAAATTTATGGCTGCGCATATACTCAAGTTCTGCTATCTGTTCTGCACGATTTCGTTGCAATTGAACGTACAGTCTCTGGCCCTCTTCCCAGCCTTGTTTCTCTTGTTCTACAAACTCCTGCTCAGCCTTTTTGATTGCTTCCTACAAACGAGAGATCACTGCTAGATAAGTAGTCTCGTAGTTATACCAATCAGGAGCCGCAGAACTAGTAGGTCCAGGTCAGACATACCTGTACACGTTGATGTGTCTGCGCAATCCTTTCAGCCTCCCACCAGCCGTGCTCGACTTTCATGAAGTCGAGATCCTGTTGTCTAACGGGTTTGACCATTGTATAATTCCGATCGAGTTGCCGAGAATGATTTGCGTGCAGAGAAGGGAAACCGTTTTCGAAATTGAGTATTTGATGCTGGTATTTTGGGTGTAATCTGCAATCACGTGAAAGGTGCGATCTGTAATATAAATTACAGATTGTGCTGCCATTATTATTAACTACACGGCTTTTCCACAAATCCCAACAACTGCTGTTGATAGACAACAGTAAAAGCAGAGATGATAGAAAGGCTACGGAAATTAGACAGATGAAAACGACGCAAAGAGTCACATCCTGCAATACCCGTTGAATTCACCAGTGAAGATATGATACGACAGTGTCTCACCCTGATATTTCCAGCAATTCGAAACGGGCATGTACAAGCCTCCTAAACGGAGGCCGGCCTTTTAACGCTAATACGCCTGCATCTAAATGCAAATGGCCACATGTACAGGCTTCCGAAACAAGCGGCCCCTTCATCACCTGGATGCGAGACGAAACGTTTTCTCGAGTACTGATAAAAGAGGAGACTAGGCTATCGACTTCTAAGGCTTCTACTTTATCTAGGTCTTTTTGGTGGAGGTTTGTAAGCATTACATCAAAGGATGATTCTAGCAAAGAGCCATATCCAATCGATTACAATACAGAAGGATAATAGCGATAGTATTGCCGAGAAACCAGAAAGGCATTCATAAATAACAAATACTCAGCACGCTGCATTGTGTGATCAATAAAGGACTCGAAACCTCAGCACGCTGCATTGTGCGCCTAATAAAGACAACGAAAACTCAGCACGCTGCATCTGAAGAGAATGCAATGAAGACTGAATCTATGGGTTCGGTTGCAAAAATGAGATCAGGTGAAATAAAGCGTTGGTCTATATTTGGAACCCGGCTTGGCTCACCAGATTTAACAGAACAAACTCAAACGAACACTATTCAAGAAGCTTCACTGAACCAACTCTTGTACAAAGTTTATCTTCGTCATCACCAACCACGACCTCAAATGACAGGGATAGGCCATGAACGGAAATCCCCACAACGCTCGACATCATACAAAAGCATGCATTAAACCCAATTGTACAAACCCGCATTCGTCATGGCTACATTTCACGCTGCGAAGTGGCGGTCAGGATTGACAATGGACCCGATAGAAAGTTAGCCTCGCCAGCAAAAGTAGATCAACAAGGTAGTACACGAAAATTATCACAAAAGAAACAGAGGAACACAAATCATTAGGTTCATCCACTACCGTCTGACCATGTCTCCAAGAAAAAACCATCCAACAAAGTCCTACCGTCATTCGATGAATTACCTCAGTTCAATTCACACAGACACCCAGATTCATTCATACAACAAACCCTACATACAATAAACTCTTACTTATCCACCCCAGCGAAAAGTTACCGAGGTAGCCGGATGAAATAATATGCTCACCATTGGATGCCAAAAAGATAGCAATTATCAGTGTGCACGGACGGTTTCCAGAAACAAAGTTTGTGTTCGTGACCATGCATTCTCAAGGTACACAATGCTATTGGCCAGGTTAATAAGTACGAAATACATTCAACGGAAAAGACAACGTATTGGCATGCTTGCGATGGCAGGAGTAAGTCACGGACCATTTCCCTTTCTGAATAACGAGAGAGAGAAAAGACTTCCAGACACACATGCAAAGTGAAAAGCGGAGTTCTTGTGTGTGAGTGCACAAATCGATGTCTAGTTAGGATGGGGGAGGTATTGGGATATGTGTGTGATATGAAGTTTTGTGCGTAGCAAATAAAAACTTTGCTGACAAGGGTCCCAAAGTGAGTTTCTTGATAGAATCATGTTCGTTTTTACGGTGAGGGAAAATTATTTAGAGCATGTGGAAATCTCTAAGGATGAAGGATGCCATTGTATTAGTATTATTTCTGTCACTAATAATAATGTGGAATAACATTGTCATTGTTGCGTATGTCTCAAGTTACATGTTTTTTTATTGAAGAGCGCTAAATGATAGGATTGGGATAAATGAGTAATATATAATATTCTTGTGTCAATTTTTTGCACACACATTAAATTATATCAACATTGGATTCTTATTAGTATTGAGGACGAAAATCGATTTCGCGTGTTCGAAGAATCAAGCCAATCGGTATGGCCTATTGAGTCATGCTTGATAACATATCATGTAAGAACACCGCAGTCCACACTCACGGTCCACACTCACAGAAGTGGGAGATTTGTTATAATCGTTTGACGTAGCCGATGTGGGAGCAGCCTACATTCAACAATACATATCTTACGTTAACGTATATGTTCAAAGCCGCTTATTCGGTGATAAGATAACATCAGTTCCCAACAACACCCACCGGAGTAAATGATACAACATTCGGATTCGGCTTCCGGTTGACTTCCGGGAGCGGAGATTTTAAGATTCTCAAAAATAGAACTAGTTGTAGTCGCTCTTGAAGTTGTATCCATAGATGACGAATTCAATAATGTCGCATTTGTCTTCTCCACATATTGTCTTCCCAGCGTTGTTTTTATTTTCCCCGCCGGTATTCTTGCCACCTCTATTAACACTCTTCGATTTATCTTCATTTACTTATTTACTGTAGTATTTATTCTTCACGTCTGGCTTCTGTTCAGTTTGGCTGAACTTTCTTCTTATTGACATCCTGGTTTGTTTCTCTTTTCTTCGGATTTGGTGCATTCATGATCGAAACGTCAATCTCAAGGGGTGGAGTCGGAACAAGGAATATATAAATATTGTGATCGTATCACAGGGACATTTCCTACTATTACCGCTTCATATTCAACCACACAGGCATCGGTTGTTCTCTGTAAACAGGAGAATTATTGGTCCGCAATATATCAATATATAAGAATAAGAATGTGATCGAAAGTCGAATTTATATTAATATTAGACTATTAACATTTTTTGTGAGGGTTGTGAATACTCGAAGCTAACGTCAGAATAGAGTATTTATTACAGGAGGTATCATACTTCAACCTGTAACCTCAGATTCTTTGAGCGGGAGAAAGTCAAATATGATAGATAATCTTTATTTGGGTGATCGACATGCTACTATCAACAGCATTTGGAACCCCTTCACTACGGGAAATGTCCCATGACTAAAGAATAATACTAATACTAATTACTATTATTTGTAGTTTTCTATACACCCCCTTAAGTGCACACAATGCCGAGAGCGTGCACATATGATTGTGGTTTTTTTTTTCACAACCATTCCTTAAAGAATTTGACAAACAACACCTTGACAAAACTGGTGAGTGAACAATAGGAAATAATTACTCCCAAGAAGTACACAAAGTAAAACCCGGGTAACGGAACCATTCCCAAGACTCGATTCAATGGTGTGAACGGAATTATAATGCCACTGCAGATAACAGCAAAGGTAGTCAAGCATACTGATAAGGAGGCGGTTGATTGGATAAAGGGAATCTTTGAAGTACGAATTATATGGACGATCATTGTTTGCGTGAGCAACCCTTCAACAAACCAAGCCGTATCTGCATAGTAATAGAAACATTATGATTTAAACTACGTTCTCCGAGTAAACAAATAAAGAGATAATAAACAAGTTTACTTACGAAATAATTGGACTTTATAATGATCATCTGGATTATTGCATTGGTAGTAGTAAAACATAAAAACAAACGTAGTAATGTCAAAAATACTACTACATGGCCCAACGAAAACCATGAATTTAGCGATGCTTTTTGCAGACCATCGTCTCGGAGAAATTAAATATTCAGGATCCTGCAATGAATTTTATAAGTTAAACTGACAATTTTCAAAAAAAAAAAAAAGTTATTAGATGAACCTACCATCTTATCCCACGGAATTGAAGTCTGAGAAAAGTCATACAAAAGATTCTGCAATATGAGTTGAAGTGGATCCATCGGCAAGAAAGGAAGCCATATAGAGGCGATCAAAACGCTAAACACGTTTCCAAAGTTTGAAGAAATAACCATTTTGATATATTTGATTGTATTGCCATAAGTGATTCTTCCACGGACTATACCATCAGCAAGTACCATCAGGCTCTTTTCAAGCAAAATGATGTCTGCAGATTCCTTAGCAATATCGGTTCCCTCATCTACGCTAATACCACAATCGCTTTCACGAATTGCTGGGGCATCATTGATTCCATCGCCTAAGAAACCAACGATGTGATTACGTCTTTTCAATGCACTTACGATGTTTGCCTTTTGAAGAGGAGTTAACTTTGCAAATATTGTGCCATTTTCAGCAATTTCTTCCAGCTGTGCATCGTCGAGTCCTTCAAGTTCAGTATTAGTGACAATGGATTTAATTGGAAGATTGATTTCCTCACAAACTTTGCGGCAAACAACAGGTGAGTCTCCGGTAAGTACTTTAACCTCCACGTTGTATTTAAGCAGTTCCTGAAGGGCAGGCTTAGCACTCGGTTTTGGTGGATCATAGAACACGCAAACACCAACTAAAGTCAACTTGCTCTCATCGGCGACGGTGAATGCGGAACATTCGTTCATACGCTTAAAGGCAACTGCTATGACTCGTAAACCTTCATTGTTAAGTCTTTCGTTCAAATTCTTTATGGATGTGAGAATTTTTGGCGTAATAGGAACAATATCCGTGGTTGGGAAAATTGCATTTGACGGATCATTATCCTTTCCGATATAAATATTCGTGCAACAAGCCAACATTTCATCCACAGCTCCTTTGGAGATCAAAAAGCGCTGCTCATCCTGGTTGGATTCCAAGATGACAGACATTCGTCTTCTGACAAAATCAAACGGAATCTCGTCCACTTGGAAAAAATGTTGAGCGATATCGGTCTCAGTTTCATTCTTAAAGAACTCAATAACAGCCTCATCCAAGAGATTTTTAAGACCAGTTTGAAAGTAACTGTTGAGATATCCTAGACACAAAGGAAGTTTACATACATCGCCCAGATAATCAAGATATTTCATGAGTATAACCTTGTTACAAGTTAAGGTGCCTAATAAAATTTAAAAAAAAAATCCATTAAACACACAAAAAAAAAAAAAAAGAAAAGCCGGTTGCAATCAATTACCGTATATTCTCGCGAATACACATAATACACATAATTAATAATATGAAATGATCGGCAAACCGTAACCAGAATTGTATTGAAAATTTTATAATCACGTGTCATTATGTAATACATTGGGTATGTTATGTTGCCAATAGTGGTAATCATATTCACGAGAATATACGGTAATATACAAGATCCAACTTTCCTGTTTTATCTGTACACAAGACATCTACTCCACCAAGACTGATAACAGAATCAAGTTTCTTGACAATGCATTTTTTCTTTGATAAAGCGAAGGCACCACGTGCCGTATTTGCGCTTACGACCATTGGCTATATCGATAGAAAAGAGTTTATATAGATATTTGAGCATCATGCAGAAAATCAATATTAAATATGATAATTCACCAGCATTTCAGGAGTGAGACCAACTGCAACAGCAGCAGCAAATAACAAGCCATCCTTCCACTCTTTTTTTAAAAAACCTTGAAGGAGTAACACCGGAGGTATTATTGAGAACATTATGACCAAAAACAAGTAACTGATACGGCGAATACCAATTTGAAACGCATTTGTTGGTCGTCGGTTAGAGAGCTTTTTGGCCATTATACCAAAGTAAGTATTAGGGCCTGTTTTGAGGACAATAGCCGTTGCAGTACCACTGACAACGGATGTTCCCATGAAACATAAATCTGGCCGATCGAGCTCGAATTTGTCCAATTTGTCGTTTGTTGTTGCCTCGTCAGGAATAATAGGAAGCTGTTGTTGCAAAACTGTGAATTTTTCAACTGGGATGGATTCGCCAGTTAACGATGCCTGAGAAACAAAAAGATCCTTGGAGGAGATCAATTGCACATCGCCTGGAATTAGATCACCTGCACTGATCCTAACCCAATCACCTGGCACAATGTCTTTTAATTGGATATCCATTTCAACCGTTTCACCCCGATCCATCTTCTCCACGTCTTCAAAATTCGGATCACTAAAGACATCAAATTATTATTATTAGTAATAATAAATAATATATTATTTGAAATTAGAGAACGTGATAATACCGAAGGTCAGGCGGTGAATAGAGACGGATAACGGTTGAACTGCTATTGACCATCTTCTTAAGTGCTTGTGCCGCAGCCTCACCCTTGTACTCTTGAATAAAGCGAATTCCAACGCTCAACAGAATCATGCTTAACAATACTATTACCGTGCGGATGTCCTTTGTGGCAGCAGCAAAAATGGAGATGCCTCCCAAAAGGAAATTGAAGGGATGAAAAATTGTGTGATAAAGGATAGTGTACCTGTAATAACAAAAAAATTTAGAGATGGCATAAGGTAATTGAGCTTAGATCATGCCATGATTCGCTACAACCATTACCATTGTGTAGGTCGTTGTCCGGAGATGACATTCTCGCCATAGGTTTTTAGCCTCCTCTCAGCAATTTCCTGGGAGAGGGGACGGTTATTATCCAATACGATCGGAGGTTGCTGATGCTGCGACAAACTCCCTTTCTGAGTATTATCATCAGACACCGTGATGGTAAGGTCAGTCGATAATTCTTCCAACTTATTTCCAGAAGCCATTATGGTTCAAACATCAGTGGTTAAAAAATGACAATTAATCTCCTCTTTTTTTATCTGGATTGTTTTAAATAATCGAATCTTCGTGTAACAGACGGTGAGTCTTGGCAATATGTATGTACATTCTACAGAGAAACCTCTCCTTTAGTGTTAGCGGTTTATCCACGGTGATACCAAAATATTCCAAGAAACCTAGTACACGCCATCGGGATCAGACAAATTAACAATGTGCATTTAGAGAAAATGGTCAGTTGTGTAACTCAACGACATTATTATTATGTAGTAATAACAAGAGATATCAAACTCCATATCTGATATTAAATTTCCATATGGAAAGGGTTTTTTTTGCCGATCATTTACGATCATTTACAAAGGAAGAAAGCTGCAGCCTCTCAAAACAGACAGTTTAACACCTATTTCATAAACTAATGGAGCTTTGTTTTATTTACGTTACGAAAAAAATAGGTTTAAAAAATTTCTGATAAGCGAACTAACGTTTATGTCAATAAAACGAACGGACAGAGCCATTAGTTAGTAGATGGATCGAGCATATCTAGTTTCATGAGCATACCCGCTTCCCCTATATCGTACCCCCCACAATATGTACGTACATTCTACAGAGAAACTTCTCCTTTGGCGGTTGATCCATAAGGGTCCGGTTCATTTCATCGACAATCATTTCATCGACAATCATTTCACCGACAGTACGTTTCGCCGACATAAATTTCATCGAAAACCAATGATAAGTGCGATAAACAATGTGTCATGTGAAGTGACTGTCGGTGAAGTGTACTGTCGATGAGATGAAATAAATGCCTCCCATCCATAATTATACTAAAAATATTCCGAGAAACCTCTTAGTACACGCCATCGGGATGTGCATTTAAATGGTCAGTTGTGTAACTCAACGACATTGTATAGTAATAATAATATCGATATGGACAAGTATATTTTATTATCGTTACATATCAAACGCACAACCCGATACAAGCAATAAATTGATACCATTCGTACATACTGTATTGATGAGATGAAAAATTTATTTGATTGTATGTTCAACTATTCGAATACTAATACATGGTATCAAAAATTAAATTTTTGTAACTTTATAATTCTGCCTTCATGCAGAAGCGACTTGACTATCAGTATTCTCCTCCACTTAATTCCGTTACTTGATTGTATCATAAGTGAGTTTATAATTCTTTGTATGATCAGTGGTGTCATCATAAGTGTCTTGAGTATAACTTCCTTCCACTTGATTGGATTCGACGAGTATTTCGGGATGGCGTACCATAAACGCCTCGCATTTTAATCCGAAAAATGCCTCGTACGGTGATTTCTTGTGTTTCTCATACAGCATAGCTGATATTAAAATCACCGGAATTGTCTGTGTTGCTGGATTGCCCACGCAGTGAATTCAGTAATCCATGTTAGGCATCATAACATCTATTATTGAACAAAGAAGGGCTTTTAAAGAACGCCTTGTAATTGCATTCGGTTATTTACTAAACCAGAATCTTACCACTAAGAATAAGGTCGGGCAACCGTTGTGAATTGTTTACGATTTTAAGCGCTTCATAGCCAATCATCAGCGCAGATATAATCAAATTGTTTCTCGATCAAAGTTTTCAAATAGTTTCTAATAATATATTACCACAAATGTTTATATCAAGATGTTATAATAAAATAAAAACGAATTCATATGCACATACCTCATATCATTATTATCATCGACAACTAGAACCAACAGATTGCACTTATGTTTCGTTGATAGTAGTGAAATTATTAATAAAAATTGTATTATTATTATTATTAACTGTAAGTTTGTGTAACTTTTGTACGATTCTTGTATAACCCTTCACGATTTAAACAATACAACACAATACAAAATTTCTGACCCTAATTATTAAGATGGACAATATTTATTAAAATATTAATAGCATTTATTAATATTATTGAAATTTTCATGCTATTTACAATGAAACGCAGTCTTCGTTAGATATAGTAAACGAGTTTATGAAAAAAGAATTAAGCATATTGAATGAATTGACACGAATGACACTCAAGCAGATAGGAGATACTCAGTCACTTGATCAGGTAAAATACTTCACGTGTAAAATAATGCAAATAGTATCAAGTATGCATTGCATGTGTTAACCTGGTGATTGTTGTAACGACTGTATTTGTTTATTCAATAGCCAACCAAAGAACACTAACACCCGAGAATATTTGGATAATTGGGATTACTCGGGAGCCATCTACTCGAGAATATTCTACTACGACGTACATGCAATATTGGACAATTAAAGAAGACGTTAAGTACATGCAATGTAGCGACTTTTACAAACTCAAACAGATCGGATCTGGTGGTTGTGGAACAGTTTATATAGAAAGTATTCAGAAGTAAGGCAAATGCAACAAACTGTTGTACTCAAACGGTTCAAGAGTTTTGATGAAACGCCGGAATTATTTATTTCCAAGGTAAGCAATAATTATTAGTATTGATTGTAGCAGATTAAAACGAAGTCGAATTAAAACGAAATTTGGGGTCTTTTTGGATCCTCTTTTAATGCCTCTGAAACACGCATATTAACAAAAGTTACCCTAAACCCCATCCCAAATCCCAAAAAAATTTTAAATTTTTATATTAAAATAGAGAAATTTTCATTTTAATCCGATTTTTCGTTTTAATCTGTCACAATAACGATAACTAGTACGATTTACACACAAATACAAACCTGCGCCGATCAACAAGTCGATCAAAATAGGGGTTTCCGGGATTTAACAAAAGCATATATTAATATAGCAATTATCGATACCATACATTATAAATGATTAGGTTTCGTTGAAATTTTCAAAAAATTAGAAATTGAATATTAATTTCGTCAGTTAGAGGTAATCGATGTTCACACTTTTGCACTTCTGTGTTCAGATAATCGCTAAACTTGTTTTATTGTTAACGCAGAAAATATTTCATACATATATTAAACAAGTATAATAATAAAATAATAATAAAATAATAATAAAATAATAACTTGATCTCCCTAAAATAGAAAAGAAAAAGACATTGCACGAAATATGCGAACCTTGCAAAAAGTATTTCTACTTAGACTTTTAGGGGCATGTAAAATCAGGCATAATTGGGGCAACTCCCAAAATTTTCTCATTTTGCCCGAGAACAAGTTCATTTATCACAACACAGCACAGCCCATTGATGTCACCGATAGCAACGTCTGTGGTATTTCCTTGGAACGGCTTGGAGAACGCAGCAAAACCGTCCAGGTCAATTATGGCGGGGTCGCCGGGCTGAGCAGGGTCGAGCTGACATGAAGCCACGTGAACGTCATACCCAAGGTCATGAATAGGTGATATACCCACACCAATGATCTCCAGAAAGCCGTAAATCCGTAACTGTCCCGCCGTCTCTACGAAACTAATCGCCCCGTCGAATTCCGCAGTATCACCAGCAACGAATGTACACACGCTGATAGGTGCGCAAGGGGGGAGGGGCTCACCTGCTGGTGGTGTTGGAGCTGGAGCTGGAGCTGTTGTTGTTGTTGCTTCTGTTGTTGTTGTTGCATCTGTTGATGTTGATGTTGTATCAGATGCCCTTTCTTGAAGAGGCGTGGCATAGACTTGACCAAAGAGCAAAATCAGATAAACACACAAAAGGACGCGGAGGAATAGGCTGTTCATTTTTAGAATGCGTTTTGTGATTGCTGTATTGGAGTTCGTTAGGTATTTCTTCTTGCTGTTTAATATATTCGTTTCCGTAAGTATGTACTCAGTTCGCACTGTTGAGCCATGGGGAAGTTAGCCCCTCCTTTTATATCTTTCGATTCCTATAGAGAATGTATTTTTTTTTATTGATGCGTTTGTTCTATACACAAACTCATCGGCACGGAAGTGTTTTCCGAAACTTGACTATGAGCCATTTACAAGTTTAAACCTTACACGAAAAAAAAAAAAAAAGATGGGGCCAGATGACCTGACTTATCGTAACAATAGTTTCTACTTTTTTGACAAACTCATTCAGTCTTACATAGAAGCATCGTGTATGATATCTACGTTCAAACGCCGTAATAATCACAACAAAGAGGTTGTGCAAATGACTTGTATCGATCAATAGGTCATCTTTGTTAAATTCGGTTAACTGATTATTATGCAGAGAAAGGTTGTGCTAAACGCCACATTAAATTAAGAGTCTTTCTCTTGCAACACAGGGTTGCCAATATGATATCTCAGAAACGATTTTCAAATTGGCACAGCTTTGCTTTTGGTAAAGAATGATGTTATAATGTCTATAAAATTTGCTTTTTTACTAACAGCTCAAACAGATTCTTTAAAAGAATATATAGCAGGTCGCGATACGTGTTTAATGAATTGGTTTTCATATTGTGCTCAGATGATCATCATGGTGACTTACATAATGTTTGAATGTGCTCTACTAGGAAACGTTCATTCGTAGATTATATGCATTAATGGTGTGACAAGATCTTTGATAATCCTTTCCCGCCGGATGAATATGAATACAGAATATGCGTTTGTTTACTGAAAAATTATCTGATCATATTATATGATAACAGTAGCCTAATGGCCAATCACATTGCTTTTTACGAAAAGGCCAAGATTCTTTGGTTTCCCATAGGCGACTACGCAATCAAATTGCTAAAGATAGCTTTATTGAAACTAAAGAGAATTAATTTTTTGGACTGATCAAACCGTTTCTCAACGATATCGGACAGTCATCTAGCCGCACAGGTACATAATCTTGATTTACAAGCATAATATTGACAGTAAAATGGCTCTAAACTTGCAAGTAGAATGGCAGTCACGTTGGATAAATCTAATATTTACAATGCAAGCAAGGTAAAATGTTTAATAATATTAGCCAATGCTTTGTTTTGACCGCATTCTATCTTGGAACAATTTTTTTATGGTAGACAGGATTCATTCAGCGACAAATTAGTGAATACTATTACTATTACTATATCTCATATCATTATCAACGATAAATCGTAAATATATTACTGGCTTACCAATGTGCAATATCTTTTGCAACGGCGTTGATATACAATTTCCATTTGCAGTCTGATAAAGAAAATAGTTCTATGATAACCGTAGCACTCTGTTTGTTATCGAAGTTTAAATTGTTGCGACTACTTGCATGACCCATGTTGCAAACTGTTGAAGTGAGGTATTTTATTATGCATATTTCTCGTGTATTAGTATAGCAAACAGCTAAATTTTCTTTGAAATCTGCAATCTCTTTTGGAGCATACGATGACATACACAGAAGTAATTTCGAGGCAGCAAATTTAGTAGCTACCCTGGTGAGCATTTCAAAACAATCTCTCCGCTTTCCTATTTCTATACTGTTTTATTAGGGTTTATTAACATTATTAATAGCTTTGTACTACTTGTATCGAATTAACAATTATTTCGATGCTGTAACAATAATAAAAGGTCCCTCGCGATAGTAACAATAATAAATATATCAATTCAGAATGCAGTGCCCAGGTACCCAGATTGTATGGGTACTTGCAATAATTATTGATTATTGTCGTCGATTGTAAATACAAATATGATGATGCCTCGGATCGGATAAGCTTTTGGTCAAACGCCACATAACGTAGAATGAGAGCAAATTTATTTATTGAATGAATGTTGACTTTCCGTTTCACAATTACAATTACAATTAATATTAAGTTTGTTTGTGGCACTATCATTAATGGCGATCTTACTTAAGTCATGGGACACTAAATGCAACCTTTTTTGGATAACTAGTACTTAACTTGGATGACGCCAGACTAGGGTGAAGATGTTAGGGGTCATACAACGGAAAAATGGCGGGTATTATCAAATAGTCTGATTAGTGGGAGAAAGCAAAGATTGACAGCTAGTCCGTTAACTCGAACAGACCATAAGAGATACAGGCTCATTATAAGTACACTTGCACAGGTAGTTTGACAGTAGTTAGTTAGCATAATGTCTGTCGTGGATTGTCAATACAATTTTAAAAAAGCACTTGGCATTCGTTCCCTAAATATAGATCCAATGTTTCGACCTCTTGTTCCTGAAGTTGATAGATAAACACGTTTACAAGGTTTATGGACTTTTGGAGACAGAAGGATGCAAAGCTTTAACCTAAAAGCAAGACTGTACTTGATATTTTCAAGTGACATATCGAATCATAAAATTAATAAGCTTGTAATTCAGCATACAAGTTTACAGCCAACGTTTGAATCTGAAATTGGCAATTTAAAGTTGTGAGCGTAAAACTGCTGCAACATTTGTAAAAAGACGCTCGAGTATAAATTAGAAAGCAAGATTTCTTCACTAACATTCTTCTAATTGAAAGAAGCCGAAAACGATTGCCAACTTTAAACGGCAACATATGTCAATGACTACGGATATCGCAGAAATACGTATATAATCACGACTCTAGAATAATTCTTCCCGTTTAGGAACATCTTCATCATGACCGCTGGCCACTATAATTAGATATCGGTTCTCGAGAGAGCATTTATTCAGAAGGGTCAATAGCCTCGCTTTGTCCGTTAAGACGTCTTGGTTTCATTGAGGTAATAATATTTTTATTTAATAGTTTATGGGTATTGTATAATTAACTACTGCTGACTGATTGGACTATGCGTTGGTTTTTTTACCAACATTATTAGGGTTCAGTACAATTAGGACACCAAACTATATATATTAGCTGCACACTGTCCGTGACAAGCAATCCATCGACTTGAACGAATAATAACTGACTGGTAAGCATTTCTCATAGTACGTAGTGAAGTACATTGAACATCAATATCGGTACAAGTAACTCGGTGAAAGCACTATTAACAACTATCTGTGTTTTGCTTCAAAAAGAAATGCTTAAAGAAGTCTTTAAACAAGTTTCTTTGTAGGTAATCATTCAACCTCATCCGTGGTTTTTTTATTTCATAGTGCATTCGCGTCTGTTTCATCTTGAATACCAAATAATGCGCTTTTCGGAATGCTCAATTGTTACCATCAACAATAAACTTTCTGTCGTATAATGCTCAGCTTTCGACTGTCTTTCTGCTAGTTTTATTGCAAGTTTCCTCGTATCTATCTTATCTTTCAATTTTATTTATTTCTTGCCGTGCTTTTGACCATGCGTTTATTATTAAACTTCGTATATTAATATTGTTATTTAGACTTTATCTTTCATCCCAATTAGAGCATCCAGAACATGGAAATTGGAACGTCAGAACGCTTGTGATACATTTCGTTAACTGTATTAAGCTTAATCTTGGCCAGATCGGGAGTAACGTTAATTATTTTTGTACAATAATGCAATAACTGTCGTGGTACAGATCACACCATCTCCTGCCAATAACTGTCATATTAATATAACATCTACTCCCCCCTCCCTCCTCGTGCGTTTTCACACTCACACACTTTGAACTTGAAGAACAACAACTCACAGCCACATTCAGTACTCAAACCTTCTTGTCAAGCTACAGACTAACATCCACACAAATACGCTTGCTATTTGGGCTTATCAAAGAACAGAAAAAGAAAATCAGACTTGCCACTATACTATCCAGTTGCGTCGTTGACAATTCAACGTACTGATAACTAAGCAGAAATTTTGCGAAACACACATCACAAACCACTGGGTCCTTCTCTCTATCACAACCAAACTGATTCTCAGGGATAAATACTCTCATGGCGATGATACAGTTACAAGTTTTTAGTAGTAATTGTAATAGTAGTAGTAACAGTAATAGTATGAATAGTGGTGAGCCATTTCGGGCTATCTGCACCAAATATTCGCACCAGAGTACTACGAACAGTGGCGAATGCTATTATTACTCTACCCGTATGTGAAAGATAAGCATTTGGGATTGGAGGTTGGGGGCTATATAGCGAGGAGAAGATATTAGATTGTGTTTGTATAATATAATCATAATGACATATCATGCACATATAAACCGACCCAATACATACACACAACCCCTTTATATAATAGCAAGAATTCAAGTTTATGCATACTTTTTATACCTCTCATTATATTTTCCTAATATCGTAATCCAACCAACAAACGGCTGTCTAATATGCATCATCTTCTTTTACAGTGGGTAAGAAAACTGAGTGGCGCTCCTGTAAGTTTTTAATCATTTATCCATTCATTTATACGTTTTCTTCGCTCTACAACCTAATCTTGATGCAAAACGCTGTTTATCTTGCTTGTTGCTCTTAATCTTACAGGACATGACTCCCGAGACAACCCGGAATATGACACAAGACCTCCTGACCCGCAATGGTGGCAGCATTACGGAGAATTCAGGAGGTTTATTTGGCCCGAAGTGTAATACGAATACCAAGTCTTGCGCAGACTTCTACTCGACACAATTAAGTTCTCCTATCAATACCCCCTCCAACACTCCCTCAAGTACCCCCTCAAGTACCCCATCAAGTACTCCCTCGAGTACTCCCTCTTGCGCGACCCTTTCGATTCCAATACAAAACTCGTCTTTTATCACTCGGGTGTTTACGGATAAATTTTTGGAAGATGTTGACCAAACTGTACGGATTTTCATGGGAAGTCAATACATTTCGGACGGGTTCGTCCTGAACGAGATGTTTTTTTTGAAAGGAAATGGTCTTGAGAAGGCAGGCTTACGTGAAAGGTAGAGAAACTTTTGATTGTGATAATCGACTGTTATAGTTAGAGGGTTATGAGCGAGGATTGGAACAGCTGGTGACGCAAGATTAAAAATAGCCGATGAAAGGTCTTGCTAGGATGATGATACAAAAATCATTCGTATTTCATATGTACTTCAATTTCTAACTTATTCACAAATGATTTACGAAAAATGTCTTTTCGAACTAACTGGACTATATTTCTTCGTCCGTGTTTATAGCTTGCTTTCTATGATGGAACTAGCTGAAGAATGCTTTGACTGCAAGTACTTGATGGTTTGTCTGGATAAAGAGTGTAACTTAGGTAAGGCTCGAGCTCGACATGGGTTGGATATAATTGGGTGATTATTGGGGAATAGACAACATTGTCTAGTGATATCATAAATTATTTGCAAGTCACTAACTCACTCTCTCCATATGTTCCCCTTTGCTTTCTACGCTCTGCTTCCATTTCGTTACGTAATCTCATAATCGGTATCTGTCTTATAGTCGAATTATTACGCGTTTACCTGTACATCGGGTTTGAGCATGTCAAGCCCGCCGTATTGGGGCACTCTACAGAAAACTATGTGCTTCTCGGGATGGAATTGTGAGGAAATGGGATGGAGTTGTGGGAAAGAATTATATTATTCTTCGTATAATACATTACTATTTTTTGCACTTCAAACAAGCCAATTTTGAATAAATATTGTGATATACAACTGTTTAATATAACAATTGTTCGGCATTCCTCTGACAGACAAATATCAGGAAGTGCTTCATTGAAAATCACTTTTCTCGCCTACAGCTTTGAATCAACTACAAGACCATAAAGAAATAACAGCATTACATACGATCCTGATTAACAACAAGTATTATTTGATGTATCACAACAGCTCCTCTACTCACTGTTGAACTTGGTGTGGCTTCCCATTGCGACGACCTGCCCAGTATTTTTATTCCTTATGACAGTATAGGTATTCGCTAGTGATCTACCCAGCTTGACAATAGAGCATTCTATCAGTATCACATCACCTTCTTTGGCAGCTGAAACGTAGCTTATCGTCAAGTCATTAGATACGCCCCCGTATATGAAATACTTTGTCGCTAATTGAAGGATGACGAATAGACTGAATGAGAGATTCAGTTGATAGAGAAATTGATAATATAATTTTCAATGTATAAACGAAACTTGCAAAGTCGCATGCGCTTTCTGCTCTATAATGCACATCGATCCTTTCATACACTATTCATCCTGACTCACCGGCTGCGATTATAGCACCAGTAGAACAAACATCGATAAGACTAGCAGTACATCCACCATGCAAGTTTCCCAATCCATTGCAGTCATCGTCAGTAACGGTCAACTCGAACACAGACTTTGTCGGTGTAATCTCAACGACAGACATCCGCGGCCAAAGAGAGGATAAATACTGGCCCCGTCGTTTGTTCGCATGATAAAGGTAGTTTTGTAGACGTTCTACTGCAGAGCGTTTAGGGTCTCCTTTTACCACCATAACTGACATTTGATAGGATCTGCTGGCTCAAAAATCGGTGTTGCTATATACATGGACAAGCGAAGAGTTTGTCCAATCACCACAGTTTAACCACATGCTTGCGATGATAAAGAAACTGCAATGTTGGTTATTACCTCAATCAAACTAAATAGCTGATTTTATGATTTTCTGAGTCGCATTTATAGACCATCAATTTATGCATTGGATTGCAATGACAACTTACAAGTTTAAGAATTTTCATTTGTTTCGATGCTATTCGTCAAATATCTGTCGCGGTCGGAAGGCTTAGATTACATTCCACCTAGACTTATACTATCGAAATAATCTTGAAATATAGATAAATACTTAAGTTTCATACGAATCATCCCAGAAAACGTTCTGTAGGGAATTCGTAATTCTGTTTGTTTTTACAAACCACATCATAAAGCGCGAATGAACACACAAGCCAATATTCCAAACTCGAGTTCCAGAACGTAAAACGCTACGTTAAATGCCTCATTTCTATTGCAGTGGTCGCACCTCGTTAAAATATATAAGACTAATATACATTTTCCCCTAATGTTTGTAAAATAAATTGTTGATATTTCTAGCATCGCTTTCCGCTATATTCTTAGTAATGTGCTACAAGTCTGTTGGACGGCCGTAAAATCTTCTGCATGATTCAACTGTTACAAGCTCCTCCAATGCTGACATAGTTTCTCTATATAATGCACGCGATGCAAGAATTGACACTCGCCCGTATTAACTAAATGATTCTATTATATAATATATTCATATACGATAAAAGATAAATTATAAAATTGTTTGTAGTATTTGCTTTATAAATATCCAGTGAATCCTCTCTAAATGCACAGTAACTGTTCAGGCTTATGATGGGAGTTAAGAGATAAGTATGCGTTCTATGAACAAGCTTTCATCTCTATAGGGGTGTTGTTTAAATGCAATATCATGTGATCGAGCTATCAGATACTTTTCGAAAATAAATAATACCCTGAGCTTTCTAAAATATATGATTTCGTTTGTTCATTGATGAATTGTATTTCACAAAATTCATTACAACTGTTAATGGTTTGCAACGTAAACAACATGATTGACATTCTCTATGCGACGCTCACCATAAAGGCAGGTGCATTTAATGAGAGTCTAAGTAATGGATCAAGAGTTAACGATGAACGTTTTACTGAAACGGACAATAGCTCGGATCAATTGATCCTTTCTTCCTATTACTATCGAGTTCTTTTAATCCTGCAACGTTTTTTTAATACTTAACTCACGGATGAAACATCGATTTAATAGGTTTCACTTTTCAGTCAATTGTTACAATACTGGTAGGTATAGTATGCATTCCGAGGAATGAGATAACTCGGAATTATGTTTTGAAAATATGCTTGATTGAGTCTCCAGTCACAGCCATTTACAATCTAGCCGGCAAGACAGATCGTATCCAATTTCTATGTTTATTAAGCGTAACCAAAACTAATTATAACTAAGATTAAACTAATTATAATATTTTCTTGAGCGGTGAAGAGAGCTTCATAAAGTATTAAAAGTTTCAATGAGCTAAATAAAGAGCTTAACTTTTAGAAAAAATAAGGATGATATTACTTGATAGTCCTTTATGTGGCCGAGGTTTTGCAAAATCACAAGTTGCAAAGTCTGCAACCTCAGATATACAGTAAATCATTATTTGTCTTTCAGCAGCCCAACATCTTTTGACAATTCCGTCGTCGGATACAGGCTACCTTATTACACTAGTAAACCATTTAAATTGTCGTTTACTATAGCCTTATAACCCATTTTTAATAGGTAAATTACCGTAACGGGTTTTTTATAATAATAATAACGAGGTTTATTGAGTATTGTTTGTTTATCATTAATAATGTATGACAACACTCTCGCAGACCATTCAAAGAATGAATCTAACCGTTCTTTTTACAATAGGCGTAAAACATTTCCTAACGCCTTTGTTACCGTTTTTGTGTCCCGCAGCTCAATTAATGGGTCTCACGCCGTACAGTTGTATGCTGTGTTCGGATGACGTGTTATACATTGTCCTTAGCTTATCATGACGATATGACAAGTCGTTTTATCATTAATTATATATTAGATAATGATATGATGCATCAACATTCTCGCGTAATTTCATATCTTTGAAAAAGAAAACTGTAGACCATTAAAGTTCGGAATGTTGTACACAAAGATCCTATTCCAGCACGTATAACAACCATGGCTCTCATGTAATCAAGTCAGAAAGCATACGCATGTAACTTTAACACGACCGCTTGCTACATACAGGTAGAAAATTTTATTTCCAAAACTCGAGTTCTAATATGTTGTTTCAATTTTTTGGCCATGCATCTTTTCATTCTATTCACATTTTCGTGTAACCCTTTATGATGGTTGACGTAAAGAAGCCAGCTGCACAAACGGAAACTATTTAGTGGTTAAACTGATGTCGCCTCTGCTTAACCCGTAGACTATCGTGTTTACCTAACTGTTGACTAGTACTCATGGTACTGATGATACTCTTATCCTGAAATAAATTGTGGAGTTTGCCTCTACAAAGCTGATGTAATATTATTCGTTGATTTGTTTCAAACCAGTCGCTCTGGGGTGTAAACTCGAGAGGAGGAGAATCATGGACATACACGATCGATATCCTAAACCATTTTCTCATAGTATTAGACCTAAAAGTCTATCTCCATTACTTACTGCGGTATTGTTTGGAAGAAGAGATCCTTATCGATCAGAAGCAAGGTTTTATGTCTGACAAAATCATATTTATTGTAGAATTGCCAAAAATATTAATATGGAGAGCATCAAACTCAGCGTGTAACCTGCAAAGAATTTCCGTCAACATAAAATGAACCAATTGGCTAAAGTGACACCATCAGTCAGCAAGGGGCAGCCAGTAGCATTTGTTTCAAAGGCAAGCTTAATATCGGAATTTCAAAATTCGTCCTAAATTAACTATAAAACCCCCAAATTTAATTATCGATCATCGGTTGAATCGTCAATATAACATCACGGTTCTAATGTCATGTATAAAGAATGTCTTCCATATTGCCACATTTTGTTCAAATTCCTACCTATTCAGATAAACTGACTACAACAAGACGAAGAAATTTTAAATTAACATACTGCGTTTGTTCTGCAAGATGTAGTAACACCATAGAAAGTCCAAGTTTAGAAATGGGTGATAAAGATTGGTTACAATTGGTTATGAATTGAAAACATTTAAAAACTTGAACGGGTATTATACAAATCATTTTATGTCAGATTTCAAAAGCTGTCCCGCTCTTGATTTTTACAACAATACAACTATATACTTTGATACAAGACTACAAGATAAGATAAACGAATCGTTCTAAGCCTTTTGTTTTATGGAAGAAAATCAATCCACAACGAACGGTTACCCACAAATGTCAAATTCATCGTCACAACCAAACCTTCTGTTGCAACCTCTCACCATATCTCCTAATGAAGAACCTTCCTACGAAGCACCTCCTTATGCGCCCGATGATGAAGTAACATCAGTGCAAGCACCGCTGCAAACTCATCCGATTCTTTACAATCAAAAGGAAATTCAATCTTCTAACAATAACGGTGTTTATGTAGTCGACAACACCCAATTCTCGCCATTGAATTCTCCAGGAGTACAGAACGCTAACCCAACCTTTCCTATCTCGTCGGGCAACAACACAATTCAATCATCTAATACCCAGTCATTTCTAGTACAGCAGTCTGACGGTACAATCGTCCAAGTTGGTTCAATCGGTAACCAAAAGACGACACCGTTTCCGCAACAGAATTTGCTGGCTCAAAATCAACAAGGAATGTTAACGGGTATGTCCGCTGGTGGCCCGCAAGAATATTTTTGCCCAAATTGTCAGATGTCTGTTCTACCTATCGAGCAAACGAGTCAAACGCCCCTAGGACATTGTTTTGGACTCATCATGTGTCTCATCATACCGGTCTTTGGAATGGCGTTAGGGAAATTGTGTGTCGCAACAGTTCGAAAGTGTCCTTTTTGTTCGAGCGTTGTTGAGAATCCAAGTGGGCAAAATATGATGGTTGGACAAACTCAAATGGTTGGACAGCCTCAAATGGTTGGACAAACTCAAATGGTTGGACAGCCTCAAATGGTTGGACAAACTCAATTGGTTGGACAGCCTCAAATGGTTGGACAAACTCAAATGGTTGGACAGCCTCAATTGGTTGGACAGCCTCGAATGGTCGGACAGCCTCAGATGGTCGGACAGCCTCAGATGGTCGGACAGCCTCAGATGGTCGGACAGCCTCAGATGGTCGGACAGCCTCAGACGCAAATGGTCGGACAACCTCAGATGGTCGGACAGCCTCAGACGCAGATGGTCGGACAACCTCAAATGGTTGGGACGCTTAATCAGAATCAAATCATTGGACAGACTCAGTATTAGATGAATATAATAATAATAGAAGGTAGAGTTAGAGAACACAACGTAAGTTGATTCTTCACATAGTAATAGACTATGCTCTTTTGTTTTGTGTAGAGATCTTGTATTCTGTAGTATACAATTCCCTGTTTACCAACATACAAAAACAATATACCACTAATAGCGAAAACGTTTCACCGCTTCTTAGTTAAACTTTATCTTGTACTAATACACCTAGTGTTTGGAATCCATTTTGTGGTGCTAATACTAATAGCTTTGATCATGGGAACTTGTATTGGGAAACTATTTATTGTAGTTTGTTAGGCCATACGCTATTACTATGTTGATTATGGCGGCCGACCCACAGATGATCTAAAAGGAATTCTAACCTCTAGAATACCGAATTCGATAATATGCTATAACTGAAGATGTGTTACTATAGTGAATTCATAAACTTAGCCACAAAACTTATGGCATTCCCTCATCTCTCAATTGATGATCGAACAATTTACGCGTCTTTAATGTTAATTTTTATCTCATTAAGAGTAATAGGAGCGATAGTAATACTAAAATGTTCACGTTGGTTGACTGATATACAGTTTATCACGAAGAAAAACATGCAAATCATTTTGTTTCATGGTATGTTTTGATGTAAATACTTATGGTTGTTTTCAAACTGTCAAAAAGTTTCTTTGCTCAACTCGAGCTCTAACCCCTTATCAAACATTTAATATACATATACTTACACATGCACACAAACTTAACCCAATCCAAAATAAACTTTGGGATATCCACTTTAGGGCGTGAGCTCTCTAGAAATAAAATAGTTCCAGACCATTTTGGATGTTAGAGATAGCTTGAATTGCATGTCAGGTTTATGATGCTTATGATTATCACGTCTCGACTATTCTCCTCAATCCTGTAAATACATACAAATATTGTTAACGCGAGCAAGATTATATTTACCATTTTCTATCGAAAGTTATATACAAAACCTTGAGAAACGTGAAATAATTTCCGTAATGTAAGTCATTTTATTTTAATATTTGACTCAATTATGGGAACGATATAGTGCCTATAAAAATCAGTAGTGTTAAAATTTTAATTATCGATGAAGCCGACATCATCAATAAAAACATCCCCTAGAACGAATTGTTGTAGTTCATTGAGCAAATAATAAACAAAGTAAACAAAATACCATGGTCGGTAGTAAAAAATTTTATCGATTCATTCAGGCTGAGAACGATAAGAATTTCCTTAATTAGACGCGTCGAAATTTTATGCACTTTCATAATTAATACTCTAATAATAGTTCTATTCTTGTGCGTCGTTGTTGCTGAACGAAAGTGTCTATTATTAGGAGGCTAAATTAGGCCGGATAGCAGATATCTAGCTGTAGATAAGCGGATGCTGGAGTATCGGACCGGGAGGAAAGAATAGGTTGCAATATTTTTATTTTATTAAATAGTATAGCACAACATTTGAGTGAGAGTTTATGCCTTGAAAATAGGAGGTATAAAGAGCAAATTTTAGTTGCGCCTTGATTGACGCAAGCGTGTAAGCAAGACCACATTTAGAGCTAAAATTTGAGAATATTCCCGGTCAAATTAGGTGATCGAACGTAACAACAGGTAAATACAAATTAACTACAAAAAGGAATTCAAGAATTTGACTCACAAATTTTCTAGCAAGGTGCGTACTGCGTGAACCTATTCCCACCACAAGTGATCGAAGTGTGGTATGGTGCAACGCATCTAAAGCTCAAAATAAATTATCCAACTTTCAAAACTAATCCGTAAACAGATGATGCAGAACAAAAGTTACGGTTTGGATTTTTTAATCAACCAAAAAAGTTTTGAGTTTTAGGGATTTGAAAAGTAACAGTTTTATTATGTTTTCTTAAGTTTCCTTAAAAATAAATAGAAATTTCGAAATTTTTTCTATTTTAATTTGAATTTTAAAACTTTTTGAGGACAGCTTTTTTTGGGATTTGGGTTAGGATTTATTAGGGTAACTTTGTTAATAGAAGAGTATATTAATATATGGGTTTCAGAGGCATTAAAAGAAGTTAGTAACATGCTCTATTGTTTCTTCGACCAACTAAAAGAAAAGCCGCACATAAAAAAGTGTCTCGAGATGAAAGAGGCAAATTGATTAGAGATGAACTCAATTTTATCAATACAGAAACCGAAACAATCGAAAATTCAGGTCACGTTTGTATTATTTTCCAAAAATTCACTGCAAATTGAACGTTATTTATATTGGGGAACAGCCAAGCGATATGCGCGAAATAATTATAATTACACATGGAGTGGATTACAAGAAACAGTTCCTCGTGCTCTCGATTCTGTTAATTTAGTAACCATTTGTAGATTTGCGCGAACGATATATGGATTTTACAGACGTGTAATTACAGGTAAATTAGCAGAATATGCTGCTAAAAAATATATATCGCACAGAGAAGTCCCCGAAGATACATGGGATAATTACGAACAAATTAATTCGATCAACTTTCTTAAACCAGAGATTCAAAAAAACGTACAGTGCACGAAAAAATTGTCATATTTAACCAGTTAAAAAAAAAAAGCCATATAACAGGTGTTAACAAAGCCTGATAGATAACGCAACTGCATTTTGTTTACACGTTTACTAACGTTACATTCAACACATAACGACAAACCCTCGCTTAATCAACATTATATGACAATAACATCTCTGTAGGAGGCTGGCACGCGTGATGCTGACACTTTGCACAAATTCCACTTTCCACTGTATACAAATATATAAAAAAAAAAATACTTCTTTAAACTCTCTGCCCCGATCTGGCAGGCCAAGAAAGCTTTCCCCTAAACAGCGTCGGCATCTCGGCCAACTTGTAAATACTCGACGAGCACTGAACTCGCGAATACTTTAAATAATCATCATCCTAACTTAAATGTTAGTAGTCGGACAGTACTCAATGAGCTCCATAATCTCCAATATCACGCCACAGTTCCAAATCCATTCCTCTTCTTACAGCCACTCATAAACAAAATCTTGCCATAAAATACAAGAAACAAAATTGAAACAAGGTCATATTTTCTGACGAAACTACGTTCCAGAGGTTTCGAAATACTCACTCAGCCTCCAAGTAAGGCCATGGTAAACCACCCCTATAAAGTTCACGCGTGGGGTGCTTTCTCAGTAAAAGGTCCTATTGGCTTTTTTCTTTTTACAGATATTATGGACGGTACTCTTTATCGTAATATTTTAACTGTGATAATGTAAATGCTATTATGGGAAACAATTGGATGTCCCAACAAGATAATGATTCGAAGCATAAAGCTAAGGAAGACATGGAACTCCTCATGCAGCGATGCCCAAAAATTATGGATTGGCTGTCCAATACAAATAGTCCAGATATCAACCCAATCGAAAATTTATGGCAATTTTAAAGAATCGTGTAGAGAAACAAGTCAACAAACTGTTAGTAAAAAAAAAGCAATCACCAAAGATTCTTTTCGTGAGATCATTCAGAAAGAATGGGGTGGAGTCAAAACTGAGACCTTTGTGTTAATTTGGCTCGTAGCATGCCAAGAAGATTGGAGGAAATAATGGCATTAGATAAACTATTAAGTAAACTTGTTTATCATATCATAGGCAGTATTAGTATACCTGCAAAATTTTAACCCGTTTTCGTTGTACGATAAATAAAAACTAAAACGTCATTCTCGTTACTTTTTTTTTTTTTTCGCGCACTTATATAAATAAGCATGTACTGAATCTGCAACATTAATATTAATGTTAATGTCGAGTTTTACTTCTCATTGTGATTTCAGAGCATTTTATTGGGTACATGTCATGTGATTTTGGACTTTAGATGCAGTCTGGCTATTGTAATTGACGCCGCTATAAAACATACGTAAAACGCACAAATAAAACATACATAAAAGCGCGCGCGTTTGGACGGCCCGCTTGTAGCGCTGGCTGTTGCCGTCCACTCGTTTCGTGAACAGAATCTTCACTGGAAACTACGTGCAGACACCTTTGATCGGTTTCACATTATTGGGTCGAGGTAAAACTAACGAAGGAATAGAAGCTGAAGTTATTTATTCATAATATCTTTTTGACTAAAAGTAATGTCCTCTTCCATCAAACAAACAGACTTTACATCTATCAACTGACAATGGCAAGTCAGTCCACATGCCGAGCTCGTTCAAAACTAACACATCACCATGCCTTTTCCGACGCAAACTTAAATGAACGAGAAAAAGAACTTTTAGCAAACCCGCCCATTACCCTACACTTGCCAATCGATCAGCTGCTAAAAAGCGCCGTCATTAAACGCTGAGATACGGCAAGTACCAAATCAGTTCCTGCTATACCGAAGGAACTTTTCGGCATTCGCCAAGCGGCAAAACAAAACGTTTCAGGAAACTTCTGCAGAAGCCACTCAAAAGTGGTACGCCGAACCTAACAACGTTAAAACTTTTACATGTTATCCAGAATTATGAAAAAAATATACATAAGGGGAACAACCAAGTAAGTGTAATTTAGAATTTACAGAATACGTAAATTATTCTCTTACTGATTGGGGTATCCACATCCATCCATCCATGGTCCAATTCTCCGCCAACAGACTCATAATGTGCGAATATACGAAGACATTCGTAATTTTAACGATCGAACAAAGAAGCCGAGGCAGCCATTTGTGGTATAGGCAGCCGCTTTTGCGTCCTAAAAAAGATGTTTATTTCATTTAACATTTCACCTTCTTCCCCCTAATCCTCGAAATCATATAAATACTCTGTTTGACGAAATTTCATCAACATCTGATCATATGACGATAAATCAGAAAAGATTCGAAGCAAGCTATTACGTTCTTCTGGACAAAAGCATACAACCATGGGGACAATTAGTTCATTAAGCTTGTTCAAGTCAGTATTCCAGTGCAAGACGTATTTTGGAAGTCAGAGGAGTTCCTTGTATGTCTTCACAGTCCCTGATGGTGTCACAGCCCCTAACGTGATCCTCAGTTGGCAGCAAAATTAGGCCACAAGGCTGACTTTTAGTGACTTGCTTGACACTACCATGGAAACCAGAGATTGGTGCTGCTTGGAGGATGTGTGAAGATAAGGTGAAGTTGGCACGCGAGTTACGTGACATTATCATCCATATTGAAACAGGAGGTTTTACGAAATCAAAATATTCCCTCCAGGTATGAACTCGGACGACGCAATGGTGCGTTCCGATGAAAAACTTCCAGAGTATATGGAGCTCTGGCTTTATACTATTGATAAAGAAGCAATTGATGCGGAAAGTTTTAAGATCGATTTTTGGATTTAATACAATTTGATTTATTCATGCATTTAACATTTAATTAAACATTGGAGGCAATTACAGTCGCTCAGCCATAACATCCCCTTTTCCTTAGTTGATTATCTGCCGAGAAGGCCGGGGCGAAGAAGAGCTGTAATTATGGGAACCCGAGTAATTTAACGCAAATATAGTAAATTTATTTTGTTTGCATACTTTTTGACTGAAGCAATCTTTTTTTTATAAATAAAGCTTCAACTACAAGAATAACTTTGAGGGCTATAGTCGTTGTTCGATATGAGCAGCCCGTAAGCTTTTTCGATGTCATATACATAATAAGTTGAATACCGAATTCTGTTTGCTTTAAGTTTGATCGTGAACCGAACCCATCATCGCGACGGAGCTCACACCGCGGTAAATAATCGCGCAGCTTGTAACGTTCATAAATTTTACTTAACCTGAAGACATAATTGAATTTACCTTTTTGTATTTTATTGAGTTTAAATCCCCATAAACGGGTCCGTATTATTTCATCATTTCACCGACAGTACATTTCATTGACAATTAACTACCAAAAAAGGATAACTTTGAAATAATGTTGGTGAATATTTGTCGGTGAAATGATTGTCGGCGAAATGATTGTCGATGAAATGATTGCCTCCCCCATAAACTTACCCTCGCCCCCGAGTTTAGATCATTATTACGCATTCCCACTTCGTATATGCAGAAAATTTCAGATATGTTGGCTATTTGTGCTGATGATCGAATCGTAGATTGCACAAGCGAAAGCTCCATAAAATACGACGCTTAATAATAGTAATGTGTTGGTTTGTAATAATTGTAATCGAAATAACCAATTAATATTAATATTAAATTCACCAAATACAGTACATCTTTTTACGAGCAATTCGATACGTACGTAACACATATACTAGAATATACAGTAATATCGAATTTAGATTGGTCTCGTGGCTTGAGGGATTTATGACTTGAAAATTCGGAAGTGGACATGGCACAGTTATGTTAATACGAGAGAGTTTAGTTTAGATTTATGTTGAGCTAAAGTCGTTAAGCAGTAATTGAGAACTGCAAAATGCAATATACAAGATGCATTGACAATACAATTGACAACTATCCAAAAGCTGGTTATATTGCAACTCGGTAAAATTCAATCATCGGTTGCAGGCACAGTAAATATGTTTAAGTAATTTAATAGATCTAACAGGTACGTGATATTTTTGTTAATATTTTATTGTGGTCGGACGAAATTTGTGTTGCTATTCGGTTTATCGCGTCGATTGTGAAATTTACCAAAATGCCAAGCTCGAAAAACACGGAAGAATAAAGTAACAAACGAATGTTTTGGATTTATTGAATAAGCAAGCAACATATGTGACGCGCGACATGTTGTGAGTCGATTCGGTTCTTCTGTCGTATACCGTATCCTTCAGAATTTAAGCACCACTTTTTTTAGGGGAAAATCGTGACAAAGTTCCTAATGGTGCTTAAATTCGGAAGTTTTATTTTTTTTGTACGCCCATGGCCATACGATGCCAAAAATTCAACGCTCGTCGTATTCTGCTGCTGAAAAGCTTGAAGTTTTGCGATATGCAAAAGATCATGGTACAAGAGTAGCTGCTCGTCATTTTAACATTGATCATTCAATGATTTCTCGCTGGGGAAAAATAGAAGAGAAAAAATCGACGTCTTGGTTCAGGAAGAAAGGAAAAATATCCCGAAGCTGAAGCTGGTTTAAAAACATGGCTTATAGAATTTCGAAAAGATGGTATTGCTGTAACTTCTAAATGGTTAAAATTTATATGAAAGAACTTTTAACAAAGCAGCTTGCTCATGTTTATCCTGATAGTGAAATTCCAAAAGAGATTATTATAAAGTCATTTAAAAAGTGTGGTATTAATAACGCAAAGAAGACGATTTATTTATGAGGCGGAAATTGATGAAAATGAAAGGGAAATTGTAGATATAGATGGCGATTCAGCTGATGGATTAGAAGAGGAAGAATTAGAATAAAGTCTTAAATACGGGTGGTGCTTAAATTCGGAAGGATACGGTACACGTACTGGCATTAGTATGACACACTTATGCTTCACATATCCTTTCAGGACTAAGCAAACAATGACGCAAATCGTGGGAACATGACGTTCGCGCCATAATATTACGTCATTAACAAATCACAATTACATACGAAGTTATATTTATATATAACGCAGTAAATAACTCTTCCTCTTCGCTTTCTTCATTAAAATGACACAAGATTCGAAAGACTCGGATTCATCAAGACCCCTCTCATCGGCAGTAAATACTGTCTCTCAGATTCGTCATCCCGATCCCAATGCAAGTAAAACTGAAAAGGCTGCTGCGCCTCTTGCTACTTTGAGTTCGGAAGCCGATCCTTACCCGCATATATTCATGGCAGCTGCGAGTAAGAAATATTATAATTTGTATATAACTAGAAGATAATTTATGCGGAGAAGAATTCTTATTGATCGTTTGCGGTTTTTGCTTAGCTGGATTTGGGAGTGGATATGCATATTACTTGAAACAGCCAAGACTAGCAGCAATTTCGGCAGCGGTTTCAGCTACTTATGCGTACGGCGCGTAAGTATACTTATACATGTTGTGTGTCACTAACCTTAATGGCAAGATTATTGTTCTGACTTTGTTCCAGTTATCTTCTTAATAATCGCCAGTATAAACGTGGATATACCGTATCGTCCAGTAAGTCATTCGGAGCTGAAGACGTTTGACGTTCATTCTCACATTACTCTAGCTACAAAGATCACTCATTCACAATTCTTGACCTTCACCGCTTATGCCATGGTTTATCTCTTCACAGTCGCTTCAATCGGTCTCCTCGCCGCCTGCGGTCCGACAGCCTACGTAGTTAAAGATCCTTTTAATGTCTCCTTTGCAAGTCTTGCCGCAATTTCAACGGCGGGAAATACTCTTAAAGCATATCAGCAATGGACAGGACGTCCGCGCGAGTTACATAGAGCTTATTAATAGATTAAGTGGGCAATATGGTATTTGGATAATGAACGAGATGGGATTGTATGCAGAGAGCAATTAGTTAATCGTGTTGGATAACGGAAACATAAGGATAACTTTTTTAATAATTAATTAAATCAACACAAAAAGTAAAGTTGACATGCTATTCGGTGTTAGCAATGATTGTGAATTATCTGGCAAGAGGTGCGAACCTCTTGTACGCATTTATTTGGATTCCCATTATCTGTCATCTATGCCAGCTAGAACCTATTTTTTGACAAAGTATAGATTCATTCTTTTCATCAGGCTGTTCTTTGGAATTGCTTAATGCGATATTCTAATTCGCTTGGCTAAATTATAAACATCTGATTTACACTCACGCGCTTTTGAAGTTGGATTGTCTGTCATTCGGAAATTTTGAAATAAAGATTATTAGATAGTCTTTATCTTTTTGAAGATTGCGTCACGTAGTTGGCGTTTGTTGTAGTCTGGCAACTTGTGAACGCTTTAATAACTGTTGTGATAACGACTTTTCAGTGTACCAGATTACAACCATGCACACGTGCCAAGCATACAATGTATAGTATACTTTAATGATGAAGAATAGGAGGATATCAGTCTCTTGAATTATCATTACAGTAGTTCTTTAGTTTACAAGATTGATAATTTAAGTTGGGTTCATCATAACCTAATAATAAACAAAGCTGCACATAGTAATGTTAGGCATACGCATGCCTTAGCATATAATTAGCCTTTTGATATCTCTCTCCATACTCTTTGACTGTGCCCATATTTCTTTCTCTTCATTCAACTATTATCCAGGGCCGACCTGTTATAGACAAAAAATGTAATTGAATAAATGCGCAATAATACAGAGCAAAAGCATGAACGGATATAAAGGGTGCTCAGGCAACCATCCCGGTATAAGGAAGCCGGCCGGTGAACAGTTCCAGATTTCCGTCGCAATAACCAACACTGGTATCTTACCTTCGGAATGTCGTAGTGCTCAGTCATCTCTTCTAATTTCCGATTCAATTCCTACAGAATGTGTTACAATTGTCAGTTCCCGTTCACTCAATTTTATCAGACGCAAGAGAGCTCAACCATTTATGTTTATAATTACACCATTATTGACACAGTAACATCCACAGCGCGACACCTGCAAATAACTCATCTTACAAAAAGAAGACGGGGCTTACCGCAACTCTCTCTCGATGTGACTTCTGTGCAGCCTTCTGTACCTTCTCTTCAAGCTTGTAACGGCGATATATATATATATATATATATATATGTATGTGTGAATGTCAGTTATTCTTCCAATTCTCACAAATTATCATATTCCCTTGACACATTCTCGTATACTTTTGTACCTTAACACCAATCTTTTAACATACCCGTTGACGCTGTATCTCCTCGAACTTCCTCTCGGCTTCTGTTTTGGCAACTACTCTAATCGGAGTTTGAGGTTTCTCGGAAGAAAGCAGTTCCTTTGCTATGGATTCAACTTTCTCCTTGTCTTTTTTCGATTTTTTCTTTTTTCTGGTTTTAAGATATGTAAAAGTATACCAGTTTGAGATGAAGCCATACTAAAGTAAACTTTGGTTCGAATTTCAAACATTATGAAATTCATGGAACTTACTTTTTTATTCTGTTAGATCCTCCCTTTAGCTGTAAGACGCCTCCCGGTAAATTATCGTATTCAGACATCTTGAACGTTTGCTGGAAGCTGCAATGTTGGTTAGTAAATATATAATCGAGTTTTGATCCGCCAATGAAATCGATATGGTGTTACTATTATGTTGTCACAATGCTGCGGCTTGAAAACAACCGGCGTGTACTTAAAAGTGCCCATTTGAATGGTTGCGTGGCGATTTTTGGCACTCGTGCCGGTAGGATATAACCCTTTCCCGCTCGCTGCCACCACTATGTGTTTTGACTTCTGGCTCTTTGCCATAGTCTTCTTCCATGGGAACTTGTGTGTTTGTGCCACGTTGACAAGATGGTTCTATCAGTAGAGTAGGATATAATTCTTTGGGTTGTTCCGCCCCGCTGCCATCGCACAACGACCTTTAGTTATGTCCTCAGTCTCTGACTAAACGCAATATTATATAATAGCTATACGCACAAAGCTGAAAATGCTATAGAAGCGAATAAATGTATGATGCTATCAAAGAGGGAGTACGCGATTTAACGCGAGGTCTAGCATTAATTTCATTGCTCTCTCAGACTTCTATATTAATTATCCCCTATAATTATTGCTAACTACGAGTTTCTCAGCCCTATATACACTAAATTTTCGAAATAAATAATCCCACCAATATCTACGTCTATCAATATCACACCCACCCACACAGACTATGTTGCTCCCCGCAAGGTAAAAAAAAAAGAAATGCAATATTTCCGATTCACACTTACCACGATTCATTTCACATTCCATATTCAAGAACTTAATAAAGATGTTTCGATTTTTTTTGTCGTCAGTATGATACTGTCTCAAACATCAAGAATTCAGATGCGATGTGCGCCTAAATAAAGACCTCGAAAACAGATGCCATTGTCAGCGCCAAATTTTTTTGATCTACAATTTTACTGCGCTTATGAGAAATCGATTAGTTTAGCCGTTTATTATTTTAAATATTTCACTGCGCCTATTATATGTGCGATGGTAATCAAAGATTTTCTTGCGAAGATCAAAATGCCGATATATAACCAGAAGAGTAATATGTCCGTTTTATTTTGAAACATCTAGAAAATTGACTAACATGTGATGACATGTTTCAAGAAGTTAGCCGGGCAATAAACCAACTTACTTTATTATTTATTACTTTGCGGAAAATACGAGTTCGTTTGGTTGTTAATATCAATGATTTTGATGTTATGATTACATCAGCATTCTATCAAATCAAGGCAAATTCTCTGGTATTGCTCACATATATTTTGTGTACCAGGCAACTGGGGACTCTCCTTTGTCAGTTGGCTGAAATGTCTGTCTTGATCCATTGCTCTGTTTCATCAACATCCAAGTCAAATGTACTCATTAATTCTTTCACTGTGCACTTGGGATCAAGGCAAAGAGCTTTCTTTGTCTTGAAAGATAATGCTGTGCACTTTGAACATCTTTTGGCATGGTTTTTTTTTAAAAAAAATTAAAGCAATGGGCTATTTCAACAATTCTTGGAAATGCTTTTTTATTTATTTATTTTTTTGACATGCATCAAATAATCACATGATCAAATTTGACTACAGAAAGCAGCTCCCTAGATTTGAGTGATAGCGATAGGAACTATAAAATAAGTTACTTAATGAAAGTGATTTTAAGCAGATAGAATTTTATATACAGTGAACTCTCTACAAATTCAAGCCCTCGGGACCAAGCATTGGTTTGCAAGTATGGGAGTTTCTATTTATAGTGAATTTATAGTTTGTCTGTGAGCTAAAACCAACAGATTTTATTAATAAGAGATTCGCTCACCCCTATTTTTGATAATAGTTCACAACATTTTTTCATGAATCTTACAAAATTAATTTAGAGTAGTTTCTGGAATATTTCTCCATTCCTCACCATAAAGCGCTCCAACTCGTTAAGATTCTTGGGCATCCGTTTCTCTAAATTAGTCTTAACAATCGTCCAAAGATTTTCGATGGGGTTTAAATCGGGACTATGATTTCCACATAGAATTCGGCATTCATAATCCGCCGAAAACAAAACAAACGTGTTTTACCTTAGCACAAAACCCCCCCTCCTCCTCCCCAGGCGAAATTTTTTATCTTGTCTTTCGTTTGCCCTTATGCCAATGTTCCACTGTATCGTTTCATCTGAAAAAAGGGTCTTTTCTAGTTGTCATTAATGTGCACTTGGGCTCAATCTACCCGTTTGGCTTATGGTTGTCGGTAAGCATTGGCGTTGCTATAGAGCGACTTTTTTGATATCCAATGTCGTTCAAATGCTTTGCGACTGTCACATGGGAAACTTCGACACCCTTTTCTGACAATTTATTCGCCAAAAATTGTGTTAAAATTGTAGTATCCCGGCGATTAAATTGACTGACTGCCGTTGATCTTCTTTGTGCGGCCGTTTCCACTAGCATGCAGCGTTGTTCTTTATATTGTCATAGATTGTGGAAAGGGGAATCCATGTATTTCAGCACCGCTTTGCACTCCCTCGTTCCACAAATATACTATAGTTTGCCGTTGTTGTTCTTGTTTCGACATAGTAATTATGTGGTTAAGATTTGCATGTGCAAAGAAGTCTTTTTGTCGCGAACAGCATTTTATTTTATGTCCGAACGTCATGTTAATTTTGCATTTTTACGCGTCGAAAATTATTTACAAATTGGGCATATAAACGCGTTCTTATCAAATCGGTAAAATTCCGGGCTTTTTCTTAGCGAACTGTATATCAACATAGTATTTCAAATCGTGCTAAGCTTGTTTGTTTTGTTGAATTTGCCTTTTTTTTTTCACAAGTAAACTCTGATCAATTAGTAAAACATATGAAAAAAAAAATAAATAAAAAATTATTATTATTTTTCGAAAATCTCTATTGGCCGTATATTTGACTGTAGTTTTCAGATAAATTCAAGCAGGTTGTTGCTAACAAAGCAGGCACTCAGTCCAGGACTCAGTTGTCTCAGTTCAGAACTGAGACAGGTCCCCAATTGAGATACAACAATGTACAGTATATATACAGTGTGACACGAAATTATTGATAATGAAAAAAAAAAGTTTATTGCCAGCCAACGACTGTACCAATCATTATCATTAATATCTCGTTTGATAGCTTAAAAAAAGTACATTTATTTAAAAAGTTTTAACATGAAATTTGTTCCCCATTTTTTTCCATGACAAGCCTACATCTATCTCTCATCGAATTAATTAAACTAATTAACACAGTTTTCGGAATCGAATTCCACTTCTCCCCCATAAACTCAGTTAATTTATCACAGTTTTTTGGCACATGCGTTTTTCTACATTTTTTTTGACAATATTCCAGAGGTTTTCGATGGGATTAAGATCAGGGCTATTAGAAGGCCAATCAATAGCCTCAGCCACATTTCCCTGAAATTATTGATTGACACCTTCTTGTGCTTTACGGTCCCAGTTTTTTTCAACTTTCGAAGGTTGTAATAGATAGTTGGGATGGGAATCATGGTGAGAGTATGTATTTCTTTTGCAGAACGTACACCTTGGTTCCAATAATGTAATACGGTTTGGCGTTGTGTCTCAAGGTCAGTTGCAGTCATTTTGGATTAAAAATTCACGGAAGCAAAGAAGTAAAAAAGGGATAAAAGTGGATTTGATGTTTACCGCAAATCAATACTTTGTTTTTATTTTTTATATGACGCGTTTTGGTTCCAAATTGGTTGAGATATTCGCGTTTGAATCACGTTAAATTTATTATCAATAATTTCGTGTCATACTGTATATTAATATCGGAACAGAACGTGAAATGAGTTCGCAATATGGGACAGTCATTATTAAGAAATCTGCTTCGAGCTGACGGAAAGCCTTATACTTAGCAATAGGAGGTGAAAGGCCGCCTTCAAGAATGGGCTACATCTTAATTGAGACCGTCCATAATACTAGTAATGGGATACCCATCACACATCGATCAACAAGATATCAACCGTGATGCTATATGATAAATCGGAAAGTAAACAGCATAAAATTTTTATCGTCTGATTAAATTCAACCATCTTCTATAGAGTATTCGCTACATTCAAATTATTAAGGTAGGAGAGTCTCGATGGTCTCTTTTCGGCTCTTGATTCCTCAAAACCTTTCTTTACTTCCCGAGCCAGCAACTAAATTCATAATTTGCTATTAATATTTGTTAATGCGAATCATTATTATAAATAACAAGGAACTTACGGCCCATTTTATCACACACTCATAAAAAAATACAAAGTCCGCCATCTCCGTGAAGTCACGTGGAAGATTGGCGTTGTCCACTTCATTAAGACAGAACTTTCCTTCTAAAATTAGAATACCATTAATCAATAAAATGAATGTTTTAATATAGACAATAATATAAATCAAACATACATAACTTACCACAATAGTCTAAAAATTGTAGGTGAATTCGAAGGCGGAAACTTTGCCCACCGAAAACAGCAAGCGTTTTGGGAAATCGTCGTCTACATTTTATGTTATCTTTTATTATATTTATAAAAATGTTTTGAAGGTTATGGGATATTTTTGAGGCATCTGAAATTTCTTTGTCATCATTAGCGTTTGGCTTCGACCCTTCCATATAAACTAACTAAAATTTATCAGCTGTGTTTAGATACCCGACACCGTCAGCACATTCACGTTTTATATGATTTTTTGATCCGATTTCTCCGAATTCGTAGCATATTGATGAAATATACCAAAGACATGCTTGTAAACATGGATGGACATAAGAGTTTAAATGAGGTTTCTCCAATGTAGCTAAGTTAAGTAGTGGATTTCGGGGACCCATGGAAAATGCCATGATGCTACAAAAATTGAGTAAACATACTGTTAATACAACACCCATCTGAGTGAATGCAAAAGCATTTGTACTTGGTGCTTACAATGGAGGTAATGTTTTGCGCAAAATTCGTATAACTGATACCATTAACCAATCACTTTTATCTGAAAAGTGTAGGTCATCAATCTTGATGTGCCATTCCTCGCCGGACAAATCTTGCTGAAAGAACTCTGTCAGGAATTTGTGTACATTGGATGGAACTAAATTCTCAATTCTGTCATCAAGCTCCTCAAAATATGGTTCCAAAATTTTGAAAGGAAGTTTCTTGAAATAGTTCGAATTAGGTCGTAAATCAATTAAATTTTCACCGGGATATAGTGTGTCATGGTGTTGGCAGATGGATTTCATATTTTCTGAGCACTGAAGATCATCACCAAGCAGATCTTTTAACGATTTCTTATTTGGCTCCTACAGAAAAGAAATGAATATTATTAAATATTAAATACGAAACAGACACCACGAGTATTGTTAGCAGTTACTTTACCTCATTATCTTGGATGTATTCATTCTCTTCATTGTTTTCGAATAATCCATAAGATTCGGAACCTGTTATTGAATTTGTATACGATTCCGTTTTTCGCATATTCATACTCCTAGTTATCCGTTGTCGTTTTTCGCTTTGATCATCGGAGTCACCTAAAATATCGAAATACAAATTAGTTAAACCTGAAGTCAGTGACTATATTCTTAATTAGGATTACCCTTTCTTCAACTTTTGAGTCCTCTGTGTTTGCTTTACGTTTTTCTGGTTTTTTCTCCAATATCTTTTCTTCAGCTCGCCCAATTTCTTCTTGTATGGCGATGCTTTTTATTTCACGCTAACAATAACGATTAAAGAAACAGTAAATATCGTATCACATTAAATACATTAGTAATAACGATACATACTTTATATACTCGATCCAAAATAGCAAGTGATTCTAATTTCCTGAGATGATTTTTCCATAATAAATCATTTGCGGAATCGTTCTCACAGTTCTTGATAAAATGGTGAAAGAAAAGTTAATCAAAATGTTTCATTATAGATAACCTAATTGATTGCCCACACATGCTATGATGGAGTCCGAAGACCCAGACCATAACATGCTTCCCCACTTCGGGCAACAACGTGAGTTGCCTTGTGTGATAAATCACTCAGAACATGACTGCAAGGTATGGGCAAAATGAAAAATAATAGGGCATCCAACGCATAATATAGTGGGACCTAAAAGTCCAGACTATAAAATACTTCCCACTTCGGGCAACAACGTGAGTTGCCTTGTGCAACTAATCGCTCAGAACGTGACTGCAGGGCTTGGAACGTGCCCATAATAATAAAAAGACTGACCTCCAAGGCCTTTTTCAAGGTGACCGCTTTAGTATAACGACGACTTCTTTTCGGCAGTTTGTTAAGGAGGATACCAAGTTCAACACCAAGGTTTCGGTGTGCTTCTTCTTTAGTGCATCCAGGATTTTCATTGACATAATGAATGTCCCAATCGCTTACAGTGGTTTGCGAGTCCAATATTCTAGAAAGAGAAAGGTGAAATTATCGATGATTACTCTTGTGATTATAAAAAGTTTGAACAGGGGCTCACCAGAATTTCGAAGATTCAGCTTTCTAATTTCTTCAGCAATATCGAAGCTTTTGTAGTTGACATATCGGACCAATAAAAAAAAATTTTTTTTAAGACGCGCGTAATTCTAGTTTTTGTCACATGATATAATCATTAATCATTCAAATATGTTTAAAGAAATGGAATAATGTAAGTTGTGCTTCAAGGATGTATGGCGTAAAAAATCTGGTTTATGCACTGCACTTATGAAGTGAGATAATGTTGGGAAGAAATAAAATTTTTTCGCAAGTGAATCAGTGATTATTTATAGTATATTGATTATGCAGGTTTTAAAGTTGGCAGACATACATGTAAGTAGCGTGGATTTCAGTTAGATAGAGTGTCAGTCAATAAGTGCGTGTTTAGAATGTTCTAATTACTCTCGATTCCTTTATTGTAAATAAATGAGTAGTTCTTTATACTCTGAAATACATTATTAATGATTCATTTCCTGGTAACTTATCAGTATAGCTGAAAAACCGCTAATCCCTATATCGATGAAGAATAGTCGCCTCTTGTCCCGCGATTATTCGAGTGGCAAATTACGATAATTAATTTTTATGTAGATGCGCGTTATTATAATTAAAATACTATTGTACCCAACGGTAGACTAAGAATTAATCCCATCTTAGGAGCCGACAGAGTTACTCGAGTCAATTAATATATCCAGGATTAGCGTCACTCTACGACGGGAAGGTTTTCGTAAGTGCAAAAGCCTTTCACTAACTGTAACCCTAGAGAAGGAGACACCACGCTCTGCCGAAACTAGCTAAATTCCTAGTGTTCGATTATTACCTGCTCTCCCGTGATAGTCGGCACGACAGTCTCTTCATCGTGCTGATTTCTCTATGGTGAGTCTGATATGACTTTAAAGTTAGTGGAATGAAACATTTTTTAATAAGAATATCTACAATAAATATTAACTAACAGTTTGCAATCTTAAATGTATGGGTATTATAACGTTTATTATCTCCATCGACAATTGATCGATAAAATCTACATACTTACAGCCTTGTAATTTTGCGTACTAATAGCTGTGATTCCGAGGTTTCTGAAGAACTATATATGTTGGGGGTGTTTACTTGACAATAAAACATCGCCCGCTGAATAGATTGTATGTCTACGGATTACCAACAATGAACACAAACCAAGCAATTCCAAAACCACACGGGTCTAATATTTATAGACTGCTCGAGCGAGCAGAGAAACAAGTAAATTTATTGTGGACGCATTTATGTAATGCTTTCGTCATTGACTTCGACATGAACTCTGCTATCAACGCTAGATACCTGCTCTCTCAAAATTTCAGCTTCCTTGTATTTATCATCTTTAACTTCGATTACTACACGCTCTTTGTCTCCCACCACTCCAATGTCATGCGATTGCTCGCCGGAAGATGCACCAATTTTGCAATTATCAGAATCCTTCGCATTGATATCCTCTTGAACGTCGAGAACGACCACTTCTTCCGTGTTACGACGGCTTATCTTTTTGATAATACGGCCGGATACCACTGCCCCAATTATAGTACAGAGTACGATAGCCCAACAAGTCACAGCCAACGCATCTAAACCAAGCATGCCTTTATCAAAAGCTTGTTTTACTAGCACTAAGCCCACTTCTCCTCTGGCTACCATTGCAAATCCAATCGCTAGTTTACCATCCATCATCGGAACCAAGCAAGCAACAAACTTGGAAAAAATAGAGACGACGGAATAAGCCAAGCCGTAACCAACAATTTTTGCTTCAAACAAGCTTTTGATTGGAATAATAAATCCGATCGAAGCGAAAAACATAGCCATTAGCCATCTCTGAATTGCTCCAACTTTTTTCTCCCATAGCTCACAAGCTTCGGGAATACCAGCGAGAGATACTCCAGCTAAAAGCACGCCCAACAAACGAGAACTTCCAACAAGTTCAGAAAGAAAACTGAATGTCGCTCCGTAGAGAAACATAAAACTAAGAAACACCTCTCTCCAAACTTTTTCTGACCTCATTGCAATTAACGGCCTAGTTATATGATACACTTTTGGCATAACAAAAGCCATGCCTAGTCCGACAAGTATGGTACAAATGCTGGAAACAATGGGACGTGCTATTTGCCAACCTTCAATGGTACGGGCAAAGACCTGCGTGATGATGGCCAACATAACGAGACAGATGACGTCGTCAAACATGGCAATAGTGGTAACTAGTGATCCGATGGGTGACATGAGCAGACGATGCTGCCTCATGACAGCCAGTGTTATTGCGACCGATGTTGACGCGAGAGATGCAGCAGAAGATATAGCCTCTGAATCAGTAAATTTGAATGCGTATTTCATCGTAGTAAAGCCTAGCCCAAGAGGAACAATAACACCAACGCACGCAGTAAGAAACGCAAGCGGCGCAGTTTTTTTAACCGCAGGAATGTCAAGAGAGTGACCACCTTATTATTTTAAAAAAGAAAAGAAAAGAGCAGTTTAGCGTCAGAAATGAGGCTCTTTTTTTTTTATTTTATTTTTTTATTTTTTAAAAATTATTCAACCGTAAGCGAAAGAAATTAATTCATTATGAAGGATGTCGATTTGCATGATATAATAATAATTGTTTGTAAATATAGTAAAATTGAACAAAGTTTAAAACAAAACGTGAAACCCGCCTTCAAAAATGCACATGAGGATGCCGAAACTTCCGAGTATTTCCATGATTGCAATTTCGCCTAGCAGAGTGTTACCAGGCAATGATACGAAGAGCACGCCAACAAAAATATGTCCTATCAGTGGAGCCGTTTGCAAAAGTTTTCCAAAAATAAGATCACCAAGCACGTAAAGTGCTATAAAGAATAGAACGTGAAAGTACAGTTGATACAGAATTTCATTCATTGCCTTATTACAAAACAAAAAGGTTAAATTCCTCTTTTTTTCTTTTTCTTTTCTTTTTTTTGTACGTTTATTATTAAATAATATTTCGCATGTTACACCAATAATTCCGATATCTTCCGCAAGGATAAAGTATTGTTTAGGATTTTGCTCAAAGAAAAACAAACATTTGCTAGCTTTCCGTGAATAAATCGGTGAAAAACGACATTAAGTTACTGAAATCGGAGCCGCAGAAGAACACAATCGGATAAAGTTTAATCGAAAAATGCAAAAAGTAAGCCATGGTTGTACAATTGACCATTATCTTTGGTGGGAGGAATTTTAAACGAAATAAAAACGACATGCATTTTCTTGTCCAGTTATTTTTTGCGGCGCTTATCTGCGTCACCATAATAACTAGCACCAATTAGGAAGTACATAAAACAACAATGATGTCAACTTTATATTCACACGAGCTCCTGATAATCTTTATTCATTCGTACTACAATACATTCTCCACCCCACCAGTGATCAATAGAAAATTCTTTTATTCTATCGTTGGGAACTTTAATTAATTAACAGGTTTATTACTCGCTCGAGTCATTGAGATGTGATTAATCAATAGATTTCTTGTTTACCATAGAGCTTTTTATCCAATAGAATGTTAACCAGAACATAATAACCAAAACAAATTGTTGCAAAATTGTTAAATGTTTATTTTCAACAACACCTTGCACAAAGAAAAGTTTGTTGGGTTGACTATAAAATGCACGATGTGTTGCACATTCGCCGCTAAATGACACATGAGTACTATTTATCGCTAATGGCGTAATGACTTACAAGTAAGTGATAACCTAACTAACACATGTAGTTGTTGGGGCTGAATTTTCTTTGAGCATTTCGGCGACCCAGAACGTCAATGACGTAATCCGCAGATTGTCTCTATTTGAACAATCTTATTCGCTACATCAATGAGTGATGCGAACAACATCTTCAATGATTATACGCAGTTGCAGGCTTAACCCCACTTTAATTAAAGATGTCTGCTTCACGGTTTAATTTGGGATCCAAATTTACGAGTTTGCTTTATTAAAGTTGAATTTATAGGTGTCCCTTTGTTTGTGCTGTTGTATGTATTCCTCTCATTTATTGAGAACATAAGGTTCTGAGTATGGATACAAGTTTTATTGGCGTGCCAATTTTTTCTAGATTAAGTGAGAACCAAAATTCGCTCTGATTATTATATTTAATTGCAAGCCGAGACAATACTCGTTATGTCAACTAACATATTATGATACACGAACGTTACATATTTATACGTGTACCAGATATTTTCAAAATATAATAAAATCAAACCATATCCATCTTTTTTAATTCTGTAGACTTCCTCATAACTAAGTTTTTTACAACTCGTAATGTAACGAGAAAGATCAAAGGGACCCTTTGGGAATCCTTCAATTTAACTTTCCTTGAAGTATTCTCTATTGCAAGACGCATTAGTTACACAGCATAGCTTTCACGACGACTTTTGTCATAAAACTCTAACAAGTAAAAGTGTTATCTAACAAGGTGCGTTTGTCGAAGGTTAAAGACTTTGTGTAATTGTCGTTGGTATAACGTTAAACGGAAGTGTACCTCGTTTCACTTGATCTCGTCATATCAATATATGCATTATATCACATGCGGACCACGGTTACAAACTGCAGACAATGATATCATTTTTTTATTCTAGAATGTCGGAACAGCCGATGCAATTTTCATTTCATTCGTTCAGAACAATAGACATCCTTGTGTTGTAACTGAACCCAAATACGGGGCTGATTTTGTGTATCTGGTGGGGCTTTTTGAACCGAGTACGGTACATACCCGATCCACCAGGCGTGCCGATGCTGCGCACGCGGCCTCACCCGATTTGTAATATCAGTAACGTGCGGATGGAATATTAACTAATATGGCCGATAAAAGCCAGACGTTTGCCTATACATAATATAATATATACGATTAATTGACCTAAAAATACGAACAATCAAATTATTTATTATTATGAAGTTGTTACAGTATTTTGGCGAACGAGAATACTAGTCAAGAAATCGTGAAAAATAATCATCAGCAATTTGTTACAAATAAAAATGCGACTACCAGTTTTGGAGGAAACGCAAAGGAATAATATTATTGTTCCAACCAATGATACCATTCCGTTAAAATACACGTAATTCTCATGTTTCTCGAGATAAGTTGGTCGTTCCATGACATATCTTGTGCTAGTTCATGGGTCTTCTGCAATTTATCTTTAGTGTAGTTTATTATTATAGGCATTTTTAATTATGAATCAACAACTATTGTAAAACCAAGCAATCCTTTCTTCAAATTCTAGCTTGAAACTCCATTAACTAAAAATCTCGAGTTTAATATGTGATTCAGCAGATTAAGTTTATTATTACTATTACTTGAAATTAAGCGGGTAATTTTTCTCATTATCTTGAAAATTAATTATAATTAAAAAATCATGGTGCCGTTTTTGTGATATTACGTACGCTACACCTTTTCTGTTGGAGCTCGATTTGACCTGTCTCTGACGCGTCTAGCAATTACTTTGAGTGTTTCGCTTAATAATAATAGTATTACAGAACATATTACTATTTTACCCCATCCTAATATGGGTACTGGGGTAAGCGAAAGCCATTGTCTTAATCCTACAACATAAAAGAAGAAGAATAATAATAAGTATTTATCAATGGAGAAAGAGCAGTAGACGTTGGTTACAATGATTACCTGGAGTGTATATTCCAAGAACTAATAAGCCCCAAGATCCTATCACACTTGCAATCATCCACTTATTTCCCAAGACACCAGTTTTGAATACACTTTCATTGATCGTTCTGGACAAAAAGCCTTGGAATAGTTGCAGTGTTGTCAGAGTAGCAAATGCCAATGATCTGGCATCCGACAAAGGCATGTGTTCGAAAACCAGTGCGATTTTATATATGCCAAATGTTAACAGAGCCAACGCAAACGCCTGGGCTATGATCATCAATGTTACTATCTTGCTGACCACAGGAGATTTAGGCTTACGAGGGCGTCTTTTCATTATATCGTTTTCCGCTGGTTCGACACCAAGCGACATCGCGGGTGGGATATCAGCTATCAACGTAAAAACACTATCGCGTTATAATCACATCATAATCATATGTATGGTAAAACAACCTCGTAACTTACCAATTATATTGGCCCAGAGAATCATAATAGTCGTAAATGGCAAATCAATATTAATAATGGCACACAGAATCATTAAAACTATTTCAGCTCCATTACAACTCAATAAATAGACTATAAATTTTAGAATATTATCGAAAACTTGTCTTCCTTCTTCAACGGCTGCTACTATTGTCGAAAAGTCATCGTTGGATAGAACAATATCTGCAGCCTGTTTGGTAATCTCTGTTCCTCCTATGCCCATAGCTACACCGACATCAGCAGCCTTGATAGCAGGTGCATCTGCAAGAGTAAAAAGAAATTACGCGTGAATAACAACCATCAATAAAAGAAAAAATTATCATAGAAACTTGAAAATTAACGCACCGTTGACGCCGTCTCCCGTCATCGCAACCGAGTTTCCAAGTGCTTGCAATGCTTTAACAATTTTCAACTTGTTATCAGGACTAAATAAAAACCGTAATTGTTAATTACGTGATTGACGACACAACAACATACAGGCATATAATATTACCTGACACGTGCAAATACGTTAGGGAAAGGCTTTAATTCAGCTATAGCTTCATCAGACAATAGATCTAATTCAGCCCCTCGTATTGTGCGATTCTGCAATGCCATTATGACAATGAGCATAAGAGTATTTACCATTTAATAACTGCACTCATTCATAACATTGAACCTGCACTTACCATGTTGAGCACACCAGATTCACAAATACCAATGTCAGTAGCTATAGCCGTAGCAGTAGCAGCGTGATCTCCAGTGATCATAATAACCTTAATCCCAGCATTCTTACACTTGGCAATAGACTCGGCAACACCTTTCCTAGGCGGATCGATTAACCCAATCAATCCAACGAACGTCAATCCACTTTCCGCGAATGCAGGATTAGCAACAGGCTCAACCATTTCGACATCAGTTACTGTAGTAATAGCATCTTTTTGTGGATCATCCTTCTGTGTATCACCTGATGACAAAGAATCCTCATCAAGTACGGTAACTCTCTTGTATGCCAATCCAAGAACGCGAAGACCTTTTGTAGCCATACGGGAGCTTTGGTCTGACACTAGATCACCGAAAGAATCATCTAACGGAATCGGTTGAATGCTAACAGCCGGCCCAGGTGAGGAAGTTGAGGCAGGTAAGCGGTCTGTACATTTTTGAAGCAGTTCCTCGGGTGCTCCTTTTGCCAACACTATGATTGGTTTATGGTTAGGAGCAATGTCAGCTTCGACATCTGTATAGATGGATTTCGGTACTTCATAGGCAACACTCATGAGTTTACGCTCGCTATCGAACGGTTTCTCATGAATCTTTTTGAATCCTTTCTGTTTCTCCCAATAGTCTTTTGGAAAGCCGCCTTTTTGTGCCGCAATTACAAGGGCTACCTCAGTTGGATCTCCAATCCCCTTATAGCCACTGCTTTTAGTGTCATCAGTAACGACAGATGCGTTGTTACATAATGTTGCAATCATCAAAGCGGTAACAGCCGATGCAGGTGCCTCCTTCATATCCCTGGATACTTCTTGGAGATTATCTTCTTCATAAGCTTCCTTCTTTACAGTTATACTTTCCGTTAGAGTAAGACTGGAGACACTTCTATTTAATTGCTGTTTGTATTCTCTCGAAGCGCGCAACATTCGGCCGTGGCTTGGATCGAGCGAGGTCGGTTCGGTGAAACGGTAAAGTGAGCCATCAGCAGTCCATAATTCGGTAGGACCCATTTTGCCTTCGGTTAGGGTTCCAGTCTTATCTGAACAGATTACGGTGACACTACCTAGCGTTTCAACAGCAGGGAGAGTACGGACAATAGCGTTGCGAGCTGCCATGCGACGTACACCAATTGCCATTGTTACCGTTGTTACTGCTACAAGACCTTCTGGAATTACGGATACTGCCAAACTAAAAGGAAATCGAGTCGATAAGTGACGTGGGATATTCAAAAAGCAACCATCATATAAATAAACTTTAGTAATACCTAATGCCGATATTTATTGTATCCTTTTTATCTCGCTTATAAGCAAGTCCAATCAAGACCACAAGCGCACAGAGCAATATTGCTAATACAACAAGCCACTTTCCCAGGGTTGTAAGCTTCCGTTGAATTGGAGTTTGAACATTCGGTACTGAAGTTATTGCTGCACTGATTTTACCAATCTATTTATAAAAAAACATATTATTAAACCACTTTTGCTGAAAGAATAATTATGTTATCAGAGTATATTTATGTGTTAGTGTAATACCTCTGTGTTATTTCCTGTTCTAACTACAAGGCCTTTGGCTCGCCCCTTAGCAACCATTGTAGACATGAATGCATTTCCTTTACAATCAGCCAATGGAAGGTGTCTTGTCTGGTTAAATGAAAAACGTCACTATTATAATTTTTTTTTTAAAAAAAAATTTTTAATCCTTGTAACCATTCTTACCTTGGTCCAAACCTTGTTAGTGTTCTTCATCACAGGCACGCTCTCGCCGGTAAGAATTGATTCAACTACTTCAAAAGACGCTGCTTCAACAATGCGAACGTCGGCAGGTACAGCATCACCTTCTTCCAGTATAACAATGTCTCCTGGTACCAATTCGGATGAGTTAACGACCTTTTTCTGACCATCTCTAATTACTTGAGCCTGCCGGATATGCGAAAATCAGGAGTTAGATAGACGGATAAAATGTTTTAATCAAGGAAAAAATCATAACTTTTAATACGATCCTTACCTGAGACACATTCAATCTTTTTAACGCTTCCAATGCTTTATTAGCTTTATACTCTTGTGTAAATCCAATTACTGTGTTCAACACAATTACCGTCAGCAACACTGCCATTGCTTTAAAGTCTTTCTCGGCAGCAGTGACAATACAAGCAGCCAATAGAATTAAAACCATAAAATCGGTCAATTGATGGAGTAGCATTTTTATGATAGACGGTTTGGGTGGTTCGGGAAGTTTGTTGGGACCATAATGTTTATATCGTTCTTCTACGGAGGTGGTATCGAGGCCTTCAGTAAGTGATGTGCGGAACATTTTTAAAAGACGAGTCACGTTGCGGTCGAAATGTAGAGCTGGTTGAAAATTAAAAAATAAAAATAAAAAAATAGTACATTAGCAATTGATAACAATACTTCCAACTTCAAAATGAATCAGACGTAGCCTATGCGCCGTCTTGTTAAATACCCGAACATACTCACAAGGAGGAGGATATAGAGCTCCCTGAAAAACAGGCATTAATGGCTTTTTAATTGTACTTTTTGATCCTTTCATCACTTTCTCTACATCGCTATGGTCGTCCTCTTTGACAAATTCGTGCCAGTCCGAAAATTGTGGAAACCACTCGGTTAACATGTGTATGATAGCTATAGCAGCTTGCTTTACTTCCGGCGGTGCGTCGTTACGGCATCGACGATGAAGTCTAAGAGCGTTGCAGAGATCAGATACATGCTCCTGAGCTACCGCTTGGCGAAATTCTTCAACTAAAGATGGAGGCGAGTTGAATGAGCAAAAAAGCGTGTAACATGTGGTGTACGTGTTATGGTTGCCATAATCCATGTATAAAACGTAAACCCAATTGTAGTCAATGTTTTATCTTCTTACCTTCTTCGAGAAATTCTCCGAACAGAATAAACGCGTCTTGAGCCTCAGCAGTAAGTTTCCTCTTTAATAAACCCCCTTCGGTATACCTCATATTGAAAAGTAAACCTTTACAGAGGCGTTTCATAAGATCGGCGTCAAGATTGGGAAGCCTGCCGCCCTTGAGACGGTAATCCATGACATAGTGAAGTCCGCACAAGACATCGTCAAGGGACAGTTGTGAATTGTTTTGGACGCCAAATAAATCGTTTACTGCACAGTTTCAGAATATGAGCGAGCGATGCGGAATAATGGGAATCACTTGATAGCATAATAACTACTCACCGTGAATGTCTATTTGATGTTCAATTGATACTTTTCCATCACGTATGGATGCTAATTCGAGTGTCAAGTCCCTTGGCATTTGCCGATCAAACGATTAGATTATTATTATTAGTGCCAAAAGGCGTTTTCAAGCATGGATGTGGGGACGCGGGATATTAAATACTATCACCAAAACAATCCAAATTAGTAAAAAGAATGGGGGACAAAGACCAATTATCCGAACATGACATCAACATCTGGAAATAAACAAACGTTGGGCGTGTCGAACAAAAGATAGCAAACAATGTGAATGGCATGTGCGCTGCGTACAAACGAATTATGTTGGACGTTACACAGATTAAAAGGTGCAATTCACAAGATTTTCAACAAGTACACTCCTTATACTTACAGATAAAACGGTTTAGCTTTTCGAATGATGTTGATAGATCTTCCTAAACGAATTCACAGAGAACCAAATTTACATATGCTAGAGCACTGACAATTCAGACATAAGAGAAAGGTATCGAAATTGAAAGAGATAGGATTTCAAACTCAGCATTACATCCGTAGGGATCGACAACAATGACATTGCGGGTCATTGATTGAAATGTGGGGAGATACGATAAAGATGCCGAGCAAATGCCGAAGGTTGGTGCTCGGTCAACATAGCGGCAAAACCATACCCAATGGCAATACCCAATACAATACCAAATGGCAATACCCAATGCAATACCCAATGGCAATACCCAATGCAATACCAAATGGCAATACCCAATGCAATACCCAATGCAATACCTAATGCACCTAATGCAATACCCTATGCTTATAACCTTACCCAAGCGGCTTTCTACAAAGAAATAGCAGTCACAATAGAAAGCGAAAGCAGTGCCGACACATATAAATAGCTATCTCCTGGAATGAATAGAAAGTCTAGATCCCGCACATCAATCTCAAATCGCTGCCACATTTGTGAAGGATCTCTGCATAAGGTGTAATCCAAACGTGCTAGCGCAAATCAACCTTAAATTAAGTTGAATGCTAGCTAGCTATAAAAATACATGTTTTATTCCAAACTCAATTGCCTTGAGAGGCCAGAGGTATAGAGAAAAATCAATCCGTAAGAATGATAGAACCGGAAAGTTACTATTACTATTACGGACAGTTTCTTGAAATTTCGGCGCACCGTTTTGTGTAGCCTCTGTGTAACTACCAGTTATCCAATAAAAAAGTCTCGATGAACTCAATTTTCATTGATACCGAAGCAAGAACATTGATTGAGTGACGATTCATTAATATAATATTAAGCGAAAAACTTTAGGAAAACGATGAGGGAAAGTGATGTTGGGGAGCCAAACGATACGCACGAAATATTGTAATTACACATGGAGTGGATTACAATTACCACCACATTACAAACGTACTAAACTTGACCTATGCGTTATCATCAAACTGGACAAATTACGCTGTTGAAATCTTCTTACGTAAATGTATGATAAGAAAGTTTGATATTCATGTAGCTGTCAGGGATTTGTGATGAGTCGTTGGGCCACTGTGTTCATAACATTGGCGCTTAGAGATAACGACCGATAATCCATTTAATGAGCTGAAGATGAGAACACATATATGGTTATGAAACACAAGATACCACATGGACTTGCTCACGACAAGAAATCTATCCTTTTTGTACCATTCCACATTGCAGAATGAAAGCAATGTGATCGTTCAGGTAAATGAGCTATTTGAGTTTTATCTATTATCTCTCCTCGTTAGCACAACAACTGAACATTGTTTGCGAACAACAGGTCCGCCTCATCCTTGATATGAACGATGAGAATATTATGGAAGGACCGAGAGTGGAAAGAACTATTTTGTGAATCGAACAGTATCTCACGGAAGGAAAGGATATTGTTGTTGCGAGGATAGAGTTTTAGAAGATGTTAGGCCGCCAATTCCGCTTGGCGAAAGTAGCCACAGCAAAATTCCACCCATTATTTGGCTAGCAGTTTGGCGATATTATAGTAATATGTTATTCGGAGCGTGGGAAATTTGAAAGTCGTAAAGCAGTATAGGAGGCGTTGGACAAATCCACGGATGCGAGACCATACAGAAAATACTTTGTTTAGAATTTACTATATAAATTATTATAAAAAATCAATTATCGCTTACCTTTCATCATGCAGTATCTTATCTAAATTTAATCAGTCAGGATATAATTGAGTTTGGTTAAAAACGAGCAGTTGTAAAGGAATTTGTACAATAAATTTATATGTTATTATATATCATAATTAGAACTTAAAGGTAACGATTAAAGAAGGTTTATGACTATAGCTTAAGATGGCTGTTTACCATTAATTGGGGGGTACGATATCCATAGTAATAGTGTTACAACATATAGTATGTGACCTAAAGGCCTCATTTTCTTCTTTGTACGAACAGTTTTCCAATTTTATAATAAAGCTCTTCATTTTCTGGTAAATCAAGCGTGAAAGAATCTGTTGTCTAAGTCTTGAGGCCATAACCTATGTCCTTGAAAAGTCTTGACGTTTTGTCTTCATATAGCGACACGAATAATTTGACGATCATACCCTCACAACGAAAATATCCTTCGCGATTGAGGTTGCCTTGATCGTCTTGATCGTTGCTAATAGCGAGAGCATAGGTGCTTTCTTCATTTATTGTCACGTTGGTACGTTTCCCAAGTGCTTTTTAGCATATCGTACTAACTTCTTGCGCTGGTTCCGTTTATACGCCTTTTCGCCTAATGTGGACGTGTTCATTGCTTAATTCCTCCTTATAACGACCCACGATATAACTAACGGAGAAAAAATGGGTTTGGTGGATTATTAATAGGCGGAGAGCACTAGTTAGGATTTTTATTCCTAGAGCCGAGTCTTGCTCAAGAAGAATAGCGTATACTTTCGCAGAAAGTTTTTATTCGTTGGATAAACACCACCCGTTGAAGTTGTTTATCTTTAATAAAATGAGTTCCATACAATAAAGCTATTTCTTAAGTAAATAGCAAATAACATGTCCGTAATATATAAAAATATATACTATTAGCTACTAAACATCCCTCCGAAATTCTTAATGTAGCAGAATCTTATAAACAAGAATTTGCCACTGCTATCGCGTTGTTCAGCAGTCATTTCAGGTGCCATTTTAATTTTTACGACCCCATTGTTCTACATTACGGAGGATAGGGGACTTACGTTTAACTGCCTGAAAGGCCTCAAGATCGTTTCCAATTTTTTTTCTTGGGCGTTGTATCATATATATCATCCGGCACAATAAAATTTTGCATTCGGATTCTTCCTATATGCCAGCATATTTTGAACTATGTTGATCAGTTCACTTTGCTTCATGGGGTGTTTTGGAGACACAGTTCGGCATAAGAATACGCACTGAAATTTCTTATGGTTGGTTTGATAATTATGTCTTCCTCATTATACCCTATGAGCTGGTTTGCATATTGGATATACTTTGTAGTTGGTTTTGTTGCTATAGTTAATTTATCTGACCGGATCATTCTAATAATGAAAAAGGCCATGGTTAATCTTTTCTCAATTATTATCGAAAATGATTATGCAAGATTTTACCTCGTTTTCTCCAAGTCTCCTTGATTCGAACTTTGACCACTGAGCTTGAAGAGGTGGAGCACATGTGACTCAAACATAATCCCCCTTGAGCTGGAAGAGTCATCAGGATCTTGAATTTTTAGAAATAGATTGCTCCATCTACCATCCTCCAGTTTTTTCTGGATTTTATCAAAAATATAACCAGAGGCATTGTTCTTGGTAGAAAGTGTCTGGCCACTGATGAATAAGGCAAATTTTTGGAGAAGCACTGTATAAGCTTTCTGAAATCACTAATTTCTGAAAGGGCTTCTTCTACACGTTCTAAAGACCTTTTCTTAATCACATCCTGATTATTGAGAATGACTGGTTGATCCTTGAAATTGGGATTTTCCTGACGAATAATGGATGCTGGTATCTGAAGAACATACCTTGGCACACCACCTGCTTCGTCACTGAGGTCAAGCATCAAATTTATCACTGGGAAGACACTTAATCAGCAGGCTTCCAACACTTCTATTGACCATGGGTGGCATGCAAAATTTATTTACAAGATTTTTGAAGTCCTCTATCTTTGATACTTTTTGATGATTATTATGAAATTTACCAAGAAGAACGAAAAATAATAAACCATAAATGAACATTACCACCAACTTATGACGAACCAAAATTAGAAGACAGGTAAAGCAAAATATTGAGGGGCCGCAATCTGTGACGTATTCTCTCCTTATTTCTGCGCTCCGCAGTTCAAATCAATCGACGGTAACACCAGCACAACTGCGGATTTCAAGACACTAGTAGTACACAGTTTCAGAGCACTCAAACGTATACCAATAGAATAGTAGAAGTAACTGCTAAAAATAGATCAATTAGACTCTCAAAAGATATATAATCAGTAGGAGTCTCAGCTAGAGTCGGGGTGTTATGTGTGATATTAAAAAGATGGTTTTTAGTGCCTTGGCTATATACTACTTTAATTACTTCGACTAAAGCTGATTTCGATATTTTTGTGGTCTACCATTTTGAATATTAATATTGTACTTTTTATTATATATTACTTAATATTAATCAGATCTTTTGTTTAAATGAAAAATATTTCTTTTATCCGTGTCTGGAAAATATACAGTGAACCCTCCCTCCATACATGCACCCTCCATACATGCACGCCATGGCTCATTCCTGAGCTCGGGAATTAGGGAATTTTTCCTTTTCCATTATATGAGTTTCACCCTCTCTATATGCACGCCCGTGGATTTGCACAACAATAGTAATATCCTTGATTCTCTACATACAATTACTATTACAGTGTTCAACACAAAATTTAGTTCGTATTAGTATATGTGTGACTCGGTCAATTTTCAAAATAAACGCGTAATCAATGGATCAAGGACTACCATTTCCAAACAGACTTATTTTCAACTTACTTCGCGTTTTACCCAAAACAAAAGTGTAAAATGTCGCAATCCGTTAACGAAAAACAACATTATATTATTGGGAGAAGGGACCTTAATCCTATTGGGAACATAGTTAAAACAAATGTGGAAAGGCGTAAACCAAAAAACTGTAAGGAGTTAGAACAGTTTATGACTGAAGAGTGGGACAATATTCACATACTGTCCTAATTAATTTAATAGATTCGATGAGAAATTCGTTTGTGCCATTTTTTTTTTGAACACCACTGTTACTGTATATCAGCTTCAACATTATCACTGCCAACAAGATCTGTTTCTATAGTTCCCCGAATTTTATCTTTGACCTTCTTTTGCTTTATTTCCTGTATAGTTGAACCGAGGCTGAGACTGTCAGTTTACTGCTTTACAATTGAGGTGACGGTAGTTTTTCCTAAATACTTATCTTGTATAAAGCATGTACCGGTCGAATTGAACAACTTGTGAGATGTAATTTTGATTTTTGCATTACAAAGGTCTGACGGGTTTGCTACGCTTGTCAATTATAATTCCTTCTTGTTGCTCGATTTCTCGATGTGCAGACATAAATCCCAGGAATCGCCGTTGACAATTTATAAGAATTATGTGTTTGTTATCAACTCTTTTCAAATTCTTCAATAGAAAGTTCAATTAACATTAAACAGGCTCGTTTTCAATAGGAGTAATATTATCGTCGAAACTAAATCAAAGATGAAAACAAATTTACGATATGAAGTACGTTTATTAGGTGAACATTTATTGATAATGACTATGTGAAAGTTTCTCGTTACGAGAATATAGAAACCGCACTTTCCTACCCCCTTCTATTATGACATTAATAAATACTTTGTATATGAACTTTTATTTTGTTAGTGTTAAATGCATGTGCAGTCAACCCTCTCTATAGTCATTCATGCTGTCGGGAACAATGCAACTTTTGTTTATAAAGAGGTTGTGACTACATAGAGGGTTTTTCCTATAAGTTCAACAGTAATTGGTTCTCAAACATGGTGTGCTTATAAAGAGGGTTTGCTTATAGAGGGGGTGACTAAAGAGGGTTGACTGTATTTGTGATTTCGAAGCTATTAAAGACGTAAATAATTAAATTTTATTTTTTCGATTAAATTTTTGTGGTCAAGACATTAACTCGAATTTAGTATTTTTAGTTGAGTAAAGTAGATTATAAGTTTAAATAACTTTCTAATCTCCCAACAAAAATCTTTCTAAATTTAACCCAAAACCCTGGAAGAATTAATTAATTACATTGACAAACTTACCGGACATTTAGAAGTAAAAGTCAATTATGACCGTCCTAAACCCGCAAGAGCGCTAACACAATTACCGACAAATGTAATATAAAAATCCTTAGCATACTACCGACTGTCTCCTTTGCCTTTGGGGTATTGTCTATATCCGATAGTATTGCTGACAAAAGGGGCGAAGAAATTAAATTCCCAAATCCCATTCCATATTTTTGTAAGCACAGATTGAGAAGATTGTACGTGGAGCTTTTGAGAAGGCTTAAGTTCGTACAACTAACATTTCGCAATTTTTCGTAGATATGTTGGTTATGAGGTGCGCTAACTTTAATGTTAATCTCAGCTCAATGAAATCACTCATTATGCCGTTATTCAAAAATACGGAGGAGGGTAGTCGGAGACTTTGAGATGTAATTCGATTGTAACTTAAACTCACGAAAGCAATGCAATTAGTTATATTTTGAAGCAGGCATATGATGACGAATTTGGACAATCATGCTAACGTTCTTAAAAACGACGCTACAAGTCACGACACAAGCACATCTGAACTCGATCTATCAGGAGAAGCTTATATTAACATTAGAATAGAAACAAATATACTTGAGGCCGACATTGTAAGCTAAAAAAGTTATTGACAAAGCTCGCAATCAGTGCGCAACAAGGAAAGAAACTCCGAACAAATTGTTCAATACATCACGTGACAACAATCCAAACACTGGCGTTAAGTGTACATGTTGGTTGGATTCACTATTACTATCTGTCAAATTAGAATACCAAGCATTAGGGCGTAAAATTATATGACGCATGTTACTGCGCAAAACACAAACGTATTTGCCATTACGTAGTCAACGTTTTTATCGTATTAATTATTGTATTAAATAATCGCAACCTTTTTATTATTATAAGTGCATTTTCAACAAAAATTGCATTGTTCCTGACAGTGTTACCGTTTATCATTACAATTATCGTTGCCATATCATAGAGAAAGTCGCGCCAAAGTCAGAAGAGTTTTCGTATAAAATAAATATTCGTATTGTTCATATAGTCAGACGTACGGAAACGTGTAATAAGTATTCATGCCATCCATTTCATACGGAGTATTTAAACATCGAACATATTAAGAAACGTGTCACTTCTAAGCAGACGAGTACTAAGATTATTTATAAATTTGTAGCATATGGTAAAGATCTTTTGACGGCCTCTACAGTCTTAAAAACCCTCTCTTCGACAATTTTGTGATTTCACCCTCCAAAACCGTTCGCTTTCCTCACCAACGTCTATACTCCTCGCTAGAGTACAAGGGATACTCACACCGCAAAAAGCAACTTGTCCAGTAAATAACGGTTTCTTTTGTCGAAACGAATTATTAGATAGGTAATAAATGATCAGGATAAACTGGAAATTTGTACCCGTCCTACCTCCTACAAACATAAGAATCTTAATAATAATTAGTATATGTATTGAGAAAAAAACGAATGAATATCTAGAAAAAGCTTTAGCTAAGAAAGAAAAAAAGAGTCGAATGATTGCAAATACTTAGAAGAGCTTTAAATGACAATTGAATATGATGCAAAGTGTAAAGTCAGTTTGTCCTCCTGCCTTTAGATGTGTATGAACAATTAATTGTTCCGGAGGAAAGAATGCAACATCTGGAAGGTAATCAGAAAGAAAAAGATGTTGGAGACAGATTTAGATTGGCTTTTAGGAGGGTACCCGACCAGTGTTAGGAAATAACCACGTGCTCAATACACCGATATACGAATTTCTAAGCTTACTGTATGTGGACCATTACATATGAAAGCGCAATACGTTACGTATCTCTATAGGCGCATTTTGCGACCAACCCTACAACCCAGAAGTAGGCAGTTTACAGATCATCGACTCCAAGTATTATGGAACAGATGCTCTTTTCGCCAATGTCTCAGAATAATCCTTTATATCTTATTACGGCCTGCTATGTTTTTGCTGGGTATTCAACGTATTGAACTGGTAAATGTACCAATGGAGGCATCCATTCGTTGAATGTCTGAGCGTCCTCCCTTATTCGCACGCTCTCTCCTCCCGATCTGTTTAAGTGTACAAGTTGGGAGTTAGCACTTAACCGGTATAGGCAAGTACTGTGTGTAGTGACCAATATGAATACGCAGAAAAACCCATTCAGAATACACGCAAACTTTGCCAGTGAGTTGGGGGGCACAAGGGAACAAGAGAAACTGAACGGTTTATAGTACTTTTTAATATTACTACACAATCCCTAAAAACCGAATGTATGGTGAGTAATCGAACATCCAATGTTCCGCACATTCTAGTAGTGGAAGTAGACATTATGTATTGAAAAAATTATCTCATGCAGTCGTCATGTGGAATTTATTTTTGACTATTAAATAAACGGACGCTGATTGATGCTTGCATAAAACGTGTTGTCATTAAGATGGCCATCGTTACTCACGCCGTAGTACTGTCCAAACGAGGTTAGTTGGTATCTAATCAGGGTAACCATATAGAGATATTCTTGTGATTCTTTGCCTATAATAGAAATACCTCTGTTCTGAAATATTCCGACACGTTTTAGGCTGGTAAAAGGCTGGTAAACAGTTTTTCAAACAACGCTATTCTTACAATATCTGGGGTACTGATGAAGTAATAAGAAAAGCAGCCCTCGATAAAACTCATTTGTCTGTTAGGAGATTAAGAATATTGGAAGAAAACTTCTCTGTTGTTATCATTGGTTTTGGAGTGAATCAAGAGGGGCTTGTTTACGGTTTTATTTTTGTGGCATACAT